CTTGTTAGGGTATAACAATGTTTTTTTTTTTTTTTATAGCTCCAGGCTGCTCTTTTTGGCAGTCCTTGAGATAGTGGCGTTAATACTGATAACTTGCCTTTCTTGAAAAGTATTTCTGATCTCCATTTAGTTGTTGGCTATTGGATTTAATTTTATTTTCACATAGTTCCACAAATGAGAGGCTAATAGCATATTTAAAGGGAAAAAAACCCCAAAGTGGCACTGCTCTAGATAAATTGAAAAGGAAGAAAGTATTTTCACCTGTTGGTACTCTAAGCATTGCCATCAGCGCCTCTTATTGTACAGAAACATCAGTAGCAAAGCATCCCCTGAAGAAGGACGAGCAGAGGACAGGGGATTGCTCTTCCTGTCAGCCCTTGGTTTATAATTATGGGGTATTAATTCCACTCTTATCACTGTTAAAGCTACTGCTGCAATCCTCTTTGCCCCTAATGCTTCCACCTGCCTCATATAGGCCCACAAAAGGCAGTGGAAGAGGAGTACATACCCGTTTTGTCTACCTTGGATGTGTTTAATAAGGCAGCTGGGCTGTCTCCAGAAAATCAGAGCTTTAGGGTAGTTAGGGACACGGAGTTTAACTTCAGGGCAGCAGGGACTGCGTTGGCAAATGGGAAGTAAGAAATCTTTTTGCAGCACTTAGCGCTCTGGGTCCACGAGCCACTGGCCCTTGTATTACCCCTCTGTTACGATTATTATTACTTCTAGCTCTCTCTACAGGGAATGCTCACTTCCTCTCCAGCAGGGAGCAGAAAACCTCATCTCTGGCCAGGAGCAAGGGCAGCGAGACCGGGCAGCTCGCAGCTGCCCCTGGTGCTGGCACTGAAAAAGGCAGCAGCCACTGGCTAGTTTTTACTGGGTTTCCTTCCCTTCACTGTAACTGACCGGTGCCCGATTCAGCAACATACCTGAGAACGACGCTGCTGCTGCTACGGTCCTGCGTAGCTGGGACAAAATCTTGCTGCTCGGGCATCACTGCTTGTGAGACTGGAGGGAAACATAGGAAGGTGATGGACACTTTTAAAACAGCTGAAGTGGTTCTTACGGTCACATAAGGTAATGTTTCCTTTGAGCTAAATGAAGAGCAGGGATGAAAGGGACAGGCATTGCACAAGCAGTGCCATGTTTGATGTTTGGTTTGATGGGGTGGAGAGGAATGATGTCTAGCAGAAGGCATCAGGAGCATAAAATATTTACTGTCCACAAAGAGAGTAAAAGGAACTGCCCGTTTTTTCAAGTATCCTTACAATCAAAATTACAGTAGTTTGTGTACACTTAAGTCCACCCATCAAATAAACCCCCTTCATCTCCTTTAAGACTCCTGTTCCTTGAGCAGAAGTCTGAAGATAAGCTGCTCATCAGCAGTGCCTGTCATGTGCGCCTGTGGGTGATCAGGAGATCTAATGACAGAGCAGGTTGGTATTTTGAGGACTGATTAGCCTACCTCCTGCCCACCTGCAAGGCCCCACTCTTCAGGAGGCTGGCTAATGGGCAAAGTCAGCCTTTCCCCTTCGGCGAGGCTGGGGAGGCCAGAGCCTCTGCTGGGAGTGCTGCTGCCCCTTGGCAAGGCTGCTGCTCCTCTGTCCTGACAGCCTCGGGGAGGTGCCCTTGTCTACCTGGCAGTGGCAGGATGTGGTGCTCATGCATCATTTATTGTCTTGTTGCATTAAAGAGTTTAATAATTTTGTCATTCTCACAAACAGTAACTTGCGAGTTACCCCTCTGAAAATATTACTACCTGTTGCATACCCTTGAAAAAGGAAATTCCTCAATTCTTTTCTTTTGTTCCTGCCACAGAAGCCAATGTTTAAGCGCCATGGGGAGACCTAGGTACTGTGGCTTCTGCCCGCAGAGCCCAACTGATACTGAAATTGTGCAATAATGAGATTTTCAGTTTCGTCTATACCAGTTGTATGCATGTTGCCTGTTTGTCAGGACAGAAAATCACAGATCTTGATAACCGTGTTTAATCTTTCATGTGGTGGAAACATAGCGTGTAATAGCTTTGCTCTGTTACTGCAAGAAAAAGTTTGTGCATTTGGAGTCTGGAAAGTGTTAGGGATGACACAGGTTGCAATGCAACAGCATTGTTACTTCCTTTGTTAGTGTTACTGGCCTACCTCCCGTTTGCAAGGGCAGCTGCCTTTTCTAATACCAGATTGATGTTCTTGCCTTGTATCAGCAGCTAGTGGAGAGAACCACATATTCGCATGGGTCAGATGTACCAAGTGCTAGCTGATCAATGTATTTTCTTGCCTGAGGTTTGAAATTCTCAGAGAGAGAATTCTGTGCAACAGTTCTGCATGGCCTTTCTCAGAGAATCGGACAATACGTTTAGAGATCTCAGGGGGACAATACATCCTTGAGAATATCAGTTTCTGTTATAAACTTAAGTGGCACAGCAGAAATTCCACATCTATCTTGTTTATTGCAGGAGCTTGGAATTGCCCTCAACTGGGCTACTGTTGCTGTCTCTGTGTTTCCTGACTTGAGTATTTTCTGTTGCATGTAATCACTGGTGCCGAAACAGGACATTAGCTTTTCTTGACTAAGGGCTTCCCAACCTCTTTATAAGTAAGCCTGCCTGCTTTGCCTTCTCTTCTTCTTTCCCTTGCCTTCTTTCCTGAACTCCTTCCACTGCCTCCTGCCCATCAGCCCTACTCCTCTAGATCTCTCTCTATTCACAACCCCCAAACCCAAATCTTCCTGTAGCAGCCTGTGAGGGTTGCATTTTGGACCCTTTATATCCATCCTTTGTCTTCTTTCAGGCTGTGCCAGCTCAGGCAGTAAGAGCAAGCTAATAGAATCATAGAACCACAGAATGGTTTGGGTTGGAGGAGACCATTAAAGGTCATTTAGTCCAACCCCCCCAGCAGTGAGCAGGGACATCTTCGAGTAGGTCAGGTTGCTCAGAGCCCCGTCCAACCTGGCCTTGAATGTTTCTGGGGATGGGGCATCTCCCACCTCTCTGGGCAACCTGTTCCAGTGGTTCACCACCCACAATGTAAAAAATGTCTTCCTTATATCTAGTCTGAATCTGTGCTATTTTAATTTAAAAACATTGCCCCCTTGTTCTATCACAACAGGTCCTAAAGATCTGTCCTCATCTTTCTTATAAGCCCCCTTTAAGTATTGAAAGGCCACAGTTAAGGTCTCTCCGGAGCCTTCTCTTCTTCAGGCTGAAAACCCCCAACTTTCTCAGCTTGTCCTCATAGCAGAGGTGCCCCAGCCCTCTGATCATTTTTGTGCCCTTTCTCTGGCGCTGCTCCAACAGGTCCATGTCTTTCCTGTGCTGATCCAGGCCCTTAGTGTTGATGTACCTTGTTCTGGGATGTGTTAGAGGGGTACCTAGAGTTGGTGGGAACGATGTCTTAGGTATTTCTCCTTTTAGAGCACCACTTAACCTCTGAACATATTGAAACTTCTGCAGCAAGCCAGGGATGATAAAAGAGTTGAAAATCAGTCATGTGAATTTGACTGGCACAGCGTGCCGCATTTGCATTTATTTCCATTGCTTAGTGGGAGCAACCAGGAGACTGTATCAGCAGCCTAGAGTAGTTCAGAAACACCACAGTTCATTCTGATACAGGATTTGAGCAGGACCTCCACAGTGCAGCTGCTGTTCTCAAGGTAGGAATTAGAAATGGATGTGGGGAGGAGAACCGGACTGCTACCAGCAGCTTCTGCTGTAACTCCCTGTGGAACTTGTTTAAAAACATGTAGCTTCTGAGACAGCGTGTGTCACAGGGCTCCCTCATCGCTCCAGCTGCTGTGGTGAGAGATTTCCAGTTGTGTTTGGTTCAGCTGAAACGTGCAGCTCCCTGATGAGTTTGCTGCGTCTCTGTATCAGAGTTTTAAAGAGCAAGATGGAGAGAGCACAAGGCAGCGTTCCCCAAGGACTGCAGTGGCTGAGTTTGCAAAGCCAATAGCTGCAGTCAGAGAATCCTGACCTTTGCATTAGTCACTATTGAATGTATCCTCAATATTTATTTCAGGCTCACTGCACAGAAAATGGCCAGCTTTGTTCAGCAGATCTACAGCCTGTTCAGTTTAGCTGCATTAGCACAGCAGACACAGTAAAGCTCTTTCCCTGCACTCTCACAGTTTTCTTTTAGAAGTCATTTAATATTACTGTGGAGGTAACACGATGTTCTGTCACTATTTTAGGCTGGATGTGGTCTGAGTTCATTAGCTGAAGTTTCCCAAATGTCATTTTTCTCTTTTGTGATCTTGAATTATAAATGCTCTTTTTCTTAAACTTTCTTTTAAACTTTTTTTTTTTCTTGTTGTTTTGTTTTTCTTTTTTTAAAGAAATAACTGTACAGTCTTTTAGAAGAGATTATTTTGCATATGCATTTGGCTGCTTTTCATGGAGAAGGGGCTTATAAGTAATTCTGTGACTAGAAATCTAAAATCTTCTTTCTATTGAACCCTAAAAGTTACAAAAATGCCACAAAAGATTCTTAACATAATTGCAGCTGTTGGGCTGTGTTTTTCATACCAGATTGTGAATGATGTTGCTATTTCATCCCTAAATTCTGGAAAATTTCCAGCAGAAGCAAACCTGGGTTGCTTTGATGAACATTTTACCACACTGTAGCTCGCCAAAACCCAGAAACAGATGAACGGCAAATGCTTCTAGAAGAACCTTTGAGGACATGAAAACTTTCCTTTGCTCAGGAAAACTGCCACCCTCACTGTGCTTTGATAACTATGTCTTCCTCCCTAACTCATGCTTTGGTAGTAGGGGGAAAATAATTAAATACTTGCTGTGCCAAAAAGTGGACCTGTTCTATAGCACCTTCCGTATAAATCAGATGTTTCTGCCTGGAAATTTCCCTTTTAAAACTTGACTATAGTTATTCCACATTTGGTCTGATAAATGCAGAAAACTCCCTTCCATTCTGATTTCTCCCCAACTCTTTATCAGATTACCAAGGAATGAAATTATTGAAAAAATAAATCGAACAAGAATGGGAGGCTCAGGAGCACCCAAAGGAGAGGGAAGAAACCATCCCAAGTGCAGATGTGTTACAGAGTGGGTGCCAGACCCCGTCAGTGCCCGTCTCTTCCAGAGTCCCGTACCGGGAGAGCGCCTGTGCTCACTTCTTGAGGGAGGGGTGGGATGGCGCATGAAGATCTGCTCCTAATGCCTAAATGTCAGTGCTTACACTGCGCACCGAAGCATGACATTTCATAGCGCAGCTCAAAAAAAATGTGCTGATATGAAATGTTTTATTTTGGACATTATTCCTGCAAATATGCAGCGCTCTAATTTTGTTGAATTCCTGGCTTGAGCAATGCTGTGTGGCAGGGGGCCCTGTGGACTAACTGGTCATTACACAAACAAGTATTTCCTTTTATTGATTTTCTCTTTTATTCAGTAACCCTTCTTCTTGAGTTATGTGGTTCAGGAGTACTCATTTTTTTTTTTTTTCCTTGATATTATTCTTTAAACTGTGATACTTGCTATGTGCCCTTTTATTCACCTCTACTCAAAACATTGCTTACCTTTTAAATATCATCTCTGGGGAAGTGCTTCTCTACTCCCAATCATTACTGTCCCCAGTACGCAAACCTCATCTCACTTTGCAATGACTGTTTCAAGGGGTGCTGGTTAGCCCAGATTTTGTTAACCTAAATAAGGTATGGCCATTGATTATTATGGTATTGAACCCGATAATCTGTAAAAATAGTGAGTCATTTATTATTTTGTAGACAACCATCCTTGGAAAAGTGTCATGCAAAAGGTTTTTAAGCAAAGGTCAAGCTAAAGTAATGATTGAGCTGTTCGTGTCAAGCTCAGCTCTCCATCCCTTGTCATTGGATTTAGAGCACCACAAGGCAGGTGAACAGTTCAGATCGTAACCTTCAGTGTGCAGTAGTTTGTATATACAAGCATTGAATGGTATGGGCCATGAGGTTGGTTAGCTGCTGCCTTTCAAATTCCTCACTGTTTCGTATTGGCAGAGTGAAATAACTACTCGGTTACTTTCAGGTTTTGCTGCTTCACTGCTTGCACTTGTTCCCAGAACTACTGTGCTGAGTGTGTGTTATCTCAGAGCACTTGAATGTTGCCATGATGAAAAATGATTATTTGTACCATTTTTTGATTTATGATTGTACCTTAGAATTGTCTACACTTTTTTGGGGAGCAGTGGCTTCAGTATATGTGTTTGGTAATTAGAGGTGCCCAGTCTCCCAGACGTAGTGGGGGAGGCAGTTTTGTCCCTCTGCTAGTTTACCGATAGATGTGCTCCTGTGCCGCTCTGAAAAATTTTGCTGTCCAGCCTTTTCCTTTACCCAGGGCCTTCTTTGTGCTCACCCACCACATCAGTTCCTCCCCCTTCAGCCTCATCTTCCCTCATGTTCACCCAGTCCCAGGCTGAGGGAGGGCACAGCTGCCGTAGTCTCCGTCTCCCCTTGCTGGGTGTGCCGGGGTGCAGTTACCCTGCGGCCCTTCCCCTCCTTCCCAGACAGAGCGTTTCGAGGATTTGCGAGGGCGAGGAAGAGAGGAATTGCAGAGCCAGAGGAGCTAACGAGTCAGGATTGCTGCTCGTGGGAGGAAGGGTCAGTGGAGCTTTCTGCTGGCTTTTCCTATTTCCCTGTCCTCTCTTGTGAGACTGATGTGTGGGGTTGTCAGAGGGTGGCTGCCTGAGCGCAGCTCACACCGGCTGCCTCCGCTCCGCTCGAGGGAACTGGCCGGCAAAGCAGGCAGCTCGTTAGGAGGGACGTTCCCACAGGCAGGACTGATACTCCTGTGAGGCCCAAGGCTTTTCTGCATCGCTTCAGCCCCAGCCAAGAAATGCAAGTAGGCAAGATGAGTTTCTTTGCAGTTGGTTGTGCATATTTTTTTGAACACTCCATGCTTAATTTCCTGAAAAAATAGTAATATTATAAAGAAATCAGTACAGAGATCTTGTTTGGGAATAGCCCTGGATGGAATTCATCTTTTGTCTTTCGATTCAGACCCAACCCCCCAAAATTCAAGTGTATTCCCTAGTCCAGAGCTGTTGCACTCGGGAATGCAAGTGTAAATAAGATCTTTGTCAAAATTAATGAGAGCGGGCTGTTTTCCTTGTACTCCTGAACCATTTCCATTCGTCCTCTGGAGATATATAGAAAGGCTTTTCCCTGCTACCTTTTGCAACAGTTCTTATGGGTGACTTGCTTCTTTCTATCACGTGCCTCAATCCTTGTTGCAGGGAAGGAGGTGGGAGGAAAACGGCTGGTATCATCCTGTCTCTCAGCCTGGGTAAATTACTGGCATATTTTTCCAATTTTGTCTATAAGGTTGTCAAGTTGACCACTGAAATATGTCACTTCACTTGCAGCATTCCAGTTGTTACAGGTTTTTAGACTCTGTATTAAAAGTAATTATAGAGAAACTTTTACATGATGAATCCCCCTTGCCTAGATAGTTAACTCTTCTGGATTTAAAAACAAGTGCACAGATGTTTTTTTCTCTTTTTCTTCCAAACTTTTGACAGATAGGGAAAGAAAAGTTCCACAAGTCACAGCACTGGGGCTACTGCAATAATGTTGCTATGCTGCTTGGAGAAGATAAACCTGGAATAGGAGGTGAACCTTTACCTGGTCAGAAGCTGAAACCTACCTACAGTGTGTTTCCTGAAGGGATGGGAAGTGGTGCTCCTGCCTGGGTAGCATTTGACAAGCAGGTACATAGAAATCTGTATCTCTATGTTTTTGTGAATGGCTACAATATGACAAAGACGGTATAAAGGTGAAATTCAGTTAGATATTTCAGAAGATTATTTTGTGCATGCAAAAAAAGCTCCTAGATAGACAAAAAGAGTGATAACATCTATTTTTCCTTCATATCGGTATATTGGACAATGTGAAAATATATAATGCCATAAAACAACATATAAAGATATTTCTGTATTGGGGTACATCTTCTGTAGGATATAATAAAAATAAGGGAGTGGGTGACATACTTCTTTTTAGTGAAAATGGTGACAGTAAAGGAATTATTTGGCAACCTGGTAAGAATTAATGTAAGGTAGGCCCCTGTCCAGGAGAAAATGTGCATGGGCACTTGCGAACCGTTAACCTCAGTGGAGTGCTGTAGGCTCAGAATTCACTTCTGCCATCATGTTTGCTTGCTCAAAGTTCTTCTGACTTTTGTGTGATCCATTCATGTGTAATATATGTAGATTTTGTCTGTTATAGATGCAGGAATTTAAAAATAATATGTTTTTATTTTGCAAGAATGTAGTGACACCGTTAAAGTGAGAGAGTTATTAAATAACTGTAATCTGTGATGATATGAATTTTGTAGTACGCTGTCATTACTTTCCATGTTTAAATTTACATTGAATTCTACTTAGCGATGTTTTATTTCTGAAGTAAAAAGTCTCCAATCAGAGAAGGAAAATGATCCAGCAAAAGAAATCATTCAGCAGATCGCAGAAATGTTGCGTGACTAAATGATTACAGTATTTAAATATTGGGAAGAATGGCTAATCTCATAATTTTGGCTTTAAAAGAAAAGCCATGCAGGTAATTGCAGTACAATTACACATCCGTCTCTTTGGCAGACCAGAACTACTAGAGGAAAATGTAAGGCTTGAACAGATACACGTGACTTTGGTTAGCATTGCCTCTGAAATTCCTGGTATTGCTCACATAGTTTTCAGGAATGTGCTCAGGTATGGGTTGGTCTAATCTACCGAAGTGTTAGGGTGTCAGCGAGTCCTGCACTTGCTTTATCTGCACCCTTCTTTCAAAGAGGTGGTGTGCATTGGCTTCTCAGGGCCATATGTAAGTTAGCAGGACTTGCACCTGAGTTTATTAAATGAAGGGGTTAGGTAGGAGGCAGGGGGACCTGCCACTGAGCATCAGGCACTGAACCTGGCTGGTGAGCAGAGCCAGCTGGCCTTTTGACATTCCTTCTCCAATCAGTGTTTTCCTCCACAGGGCAATACAGGACAGGAGTTTGCAGGTTCAGAATTGACCTCTGGAGGGCTCATGTGTTTGGATTAATTACAGACTGTTAAAGGGTACTACCCAACTAATTTAGCTTCCCCAGTTAACAGCTTAGAATGCAGCTATGTCCTCCAGTGCTGCAGTTTGTGACTCAGCAGAATGGACTACATGAAAAATGGTTTGAGTAGATATTTATCTTCTTAAACGTAGTCTGCTTTCTTACCATTTTTCTTTGGTTTCTAACTTTCAGAAGTACCATAGTAATTGGAGGAAGGACAGGCATAAAACTTCATTATTAAGTATGTTGAGAAACAGTTTTTGTAATTTCATACGCATAATAGGAAGCAGGTGTAAATTTAATTTCTTCTATGATTAAGTACACACACAAGGCCTCCCAGGCTTGAAACGATGTTTGTAATTTGGCTACTACAGGTGCCAGGGAAACCTTGAGCCAACTTTACAAAATGCCACAGCGTTTATTCAATATTTGTTACTTTTGGTTTTTGCAGGTAACATTTAATTTTTTGAAGTGTGGGATGGGAACTTTGCACATACCAATGTATTGCAGATAAGACATGAGTTAAGAAGTGTTATATTTCAAGTATTTTTAAAATTAACTTTGCTTTAAAATGAAAAGTAAGTCATCTGCTTTTCTGTTCTTACCCCTCCTTTCCCCTCCTGAGTCATCTGTTTAGATCTGCAAAATTGCAGTTGGCTGTTGCATGTATTTCAGTCATACAGTAGTGTTGTGGTTTGAGCTTAGAGGGCAACTGAGCACCACACGGCTGCTCACTCCTCCCTTCTCTTCCAGTGATGAGAAGGGACAAATGATCCAGGCTTGGGATTTGAGATAGGACTGGGAGGGGCAGATCACCCGTTATGGTCGTGAGCAAAAGTCAGACTCGTTAGGGGAAGAAAAAAACTAACATAAATTTAATACAGACACTAACAACAACACTTAACAGAGTAGGACAGTGCGAAGCATTGCCACATCTTGAGAACACCTTCCCCCCACCCCTCCCTTCTTCCCAGGCTCAGTTCTGCTCCCAATATCTCTACCTCCTCCCCCCAGCGGCACAGGGGCAGGGAATGGGGGGTGCAGTCAGTGCTGCTGCTTCTTCCATCTTGGGAGGGGATGGAACTTCTGGAACTTCTTCCCCCTGCTCCATCGTGGTCCCCCTCTCACAGGAGACAGTCCTCCACAAACTTTCTCTGACTTGAGTCCCTCCCCTGCAGCCCTTCCCAAGCTGCTCCAGCATGGGACACCCCTGCGTGCTGCAATCCTCCCAGTGCTGAACTACAACAGCAGGGTCTACTTTTTCCCATAAGATCCTGGCCTTCTTCGGGCACAGTCACCTTGGTTGTCCATGAGAGGCCCCTCACAGGCCATAAATCAGTGTCTGCTCCACCGTAGATCTTCATGGGTGGTGGTGGCGTCTGCCCTGCCGTCTCACCACAGGATACAGGGGGTCTCTGCTCTGGCACACCTCCCCCTTCCTCTCTTCCTCTGTTCTACTGACTTTGGTGTTCACGCAGCTGCCGCAACTCTTCCTCACAACTCCAACTCCTCCTCTCAGGTCCCTTAAATATGTTTTTGCAGAGGCACAGCTGATTGGCTCAGTTTTGGTGCAGAGGTGGGTCCGACTTGGAGCTGGGGGAACTTCGAGAAACTTCTCACAGGGGGACACGCCTATAGCGCCCTCCCCTGCTACCAAAAAACCCCACCACTCACTCAAACCCAGGACAAGTAGCATGTTGATAAGGGTATAAAGAGAATAAAGTGCAAAAGAACTTGCACAAACTCCTTGAACTGAGTAAACCAGGCCATAGGTGTATGTTCAGTGAAAGAAATAAGTACAGTGTATTTAGGACCTGACTGTGCTTGGAGAGCTGTGCAAACGTACTGTTTTGCCTGACTGCTGTCTCACAAAGCAACCATTCTCAGAAAAGATCATCGACAAATTTAAGAACAATTAGTAATCAAACAGGGCACTTGAACAATAAGTTCATCAATCAACTGTAGGAGCACTAGAAGAAGAGGGCAAAGAGGGTACAGCACCTAAGGAAGTTTCTAGTGGTTGCATGGCTTATTGGCAGCTGGGCATGGAATGAAATTCAGCTCCTTGTCAGCTGAACCCCAGGGTGTTCGGATCGGGATTTAGTGGTTCCAGCATAGTACCTTTGAAGTCCCCTGAAGTATTCAAGAGATTTACACAGGGCTCCTGGTCATTCCAGAATAGTAGCTGGAGAAAGGATACCTTGGTCACCAAAAATAGCACTATACACCAGTGTTTAGGCAAATGGAAGGAAGAAGAGATGTTAAAGGATGATAGAGTTTGTGTTGGCTCTGTTGTATGAGAAGTTTTATCCAGTGTTTTTGTGTTTGATACATGAAACAGTGAATTCCACGGTTAAAAATTGCATGTGGCCAGAATGAGTTTTTATTTATATTAAACTATTTCACCTGTAGGTTGTTCAGAAACTTGCATGTCGTCCTATGTAAACAAACCATAAGTGATAGTGTCTAGATTCTTTTGTGTGAAGATTTAATGCCATCAGGTTTAACAAGTAACTGTTATGTCATTTGATTATAATTTAAATTTTCTTTCTCTAATGGTGGTGGGTCACAGTTCAGGAGAGTTGATGCCAGAAATGTGTCTATCATACTGTTTGGCGCATACTGAAGATCAGTGGGACCTTAGCCTTTGAGATAGCTTGTGGAAACAGTTTTCCTCATCTTGCACTTAACCTGCCTGAGAGAAGGGAGAGTGGCCTATTGAGAAGTCTGACTAGGACATGGGGCGGCTGTTCTAGTGTGCTCCTGGGAAAGCCGCTAGCGCTTTCTCCCCAGATGGGAAAAAGAAGTTGTGTTTGTCTGTTAGGGTGTTTTAAAATCTCGTGTCATTAGTATTCATGAAAGTACTTTGAGGTTCTCAAAGGCAGGTGCTAAAGGAATACAGACTATTAACCCGATTGTTTTGTCATATAGGGATCTCGTCCAGTTTACTAGATTTCAAACATTTTCAAACCATGGTCTGCCAGGTGCTCACTGAAACATAGGGAACAGCTAAGTTGTCTTTTTTTTTATAATGCTTCAGTTTGTCTAATGAATCGAGAATAAAGGTAACTGAATTTATTAAATAGAACCATTCTGAAAAATGGTGTATGAATTGGCACTGATTTGACCCAAATGTGTTGGAGGGGCAGGATGGAAACCTGTTTTAATTAATGCCTTCCCGCACCTATTTACCACAGCAAGCATCCTGGTAGATAATGCACTACTAAGTGGATACTTCTTTCACATTCCCTTAAATTGGTCTTGGTGATTAAAGACCATAAATGATACCAAGTACAAAACTTGTGTAACTGTTTGCTGAGTTTGAGCTGAGATCTCCAGACATGAAGGCCACTGTAGTAAAGCACTGAGCACCACACCTATGAAGGTTTTTTTTTCTTGTGTTATTGCTATTGCAAGAGACCATGAAGACCAGTTGGTATACTTTTTGAGATTTCCCCACTTGCTGAATTGAAGAACCAGGTAAGTTTTGAAATGCCAATATTGCACAGCTCTAAATGACTCCTGAAAGTGTAATTTCTCTCTGGTAGTCTTCAGTACCATTCATCAGACAGCTTGCAGGATCTGCTTAAAAAGAACTCCCCTTTCCACTTGCCTCAATGGTAAAGCTATTACTGTCATAATGCACTTTATTTTCCAGCAATTCATTGAATAGCATTCTAAAATTTGCTTCAGGACCTAGGTAGCTCATTGTGTTATCAGAAGTGCTTTGTTCAGAAGATTTTCCAAGCAGCCTGATGATAGTTTTATATTTGATTTATTTCTTTACTTTAGAGTTCCATCTCTGCTTAGATGTTGTGATAATAAAAATGCCAAGCAAAGAATTTTAAATTTATGTGATTTAATGTGCATTTCTGTTCTTACATTTCTGAAAAATAAATCTACCTCCTGAAATCCATACATTTAGTTACTTATAATCTATACAACTTTATTTTATTGACATATTTTGCAAAAGCATTGGAGATTTTCTTGCTTTATAATTATTTATTGTTTTTAATAGATATTGTCTTTTGATGCCTATTTTGAGGAAGAAGTGCCTGACAAAAATCAAGAGCTATATAGAATCAGACACTGTAAAATATACTTCTACCTTGAAGATGATACAATTCAAGTGATTGAACCCCAAGTGAAAAATAGCGGCATAACTCAAGGTATCTATTTTTAATAGCACTCTTTTTTTGCCCTTTATATCTTTCTTCAGTACAGTCTTAGTCCATTCCAAAGGATACGTACTGTGACTTCTTATAGTTAAAATAGGATGTAAGTGAACAGCTATAATTGCCTTTTCTTGTTATGGATCATAATGTGAACTTTTTTCTTGTCTTAGTTTATGAAGGTAAAGGTTTTGTAAGGCAGAATCCCCTCCCATGCTCAAACATACAATTTTTTCTCTATTATAGTTGTTTGAAATCATATGATAGTAGGTCTTTTGTCAGTGTTGTGTCACTTCTGCAAAAGCAGTTTGTGTTCTAGATCTCCATTCCTGAGCTTGGCTCCTCTCATCTTGGCACTGACAGTAAATTCTCTAGCGGCAGCTCTGTAATTGTTCATTAGCTGCTGCAGTATCTCTGCTGTTATTGAAGGAGAGCGCCTTTTGTGCCTCTGGCTGTTGGCTCTTTTATGATTAAAGTGCCCTTGGCACAGTCATTTTTCCTTGAGGCCTCTAAGTTAAGAAGCTGCCTTGCCTCAGTTGTCACATCACTGCACTTGGGCCAGCCTGAGGACTTTTGGAGGAGGGTTTACTGAGATGATTTACTGGAGTATTAATGGACTTGGTTTACATTAAGAAAATGTGACCTAGTGGTCAACATCCTGTTGCAGAAGAGGAACACAGCTGCTGCTTCTTGGTGTTTGTGGGTCACTGCCAGAATTAAAAAAGTTTTCAAGGGATATAGTCCAGACAAGCAGGATGTCTTGGGATGAATATCTTGGGATGACTGCGCCTCCCATCCCCAAAGATATTTTGTACATTCTGGTGCATCTTAGCACAGCAATTTTTGAAAATAAGTTAACCATTTAACTACTGCATTCCTTTCCAAGATGAACAGATGCTATCAATTTCTGTCTACAGATAGGATAATATTTAAAGGTGTTACTTACATCATTACGGTTAGACCTGGGATAAAATTACCTGTGAATCCAGTACTTCAGGACCTGGTCTCCCTGTGTGAGTAGTTCTTCTTGCCAGAAATCTTACTGGCTCTTTAGCAGGAACTGATTTTGAATTCAGAGAAACCTCCTCCTACTCCTACCTGGGCAAGTGCTTTTTGAAGATCTGAAGAAAAGCATACTGGATCTCTTCTGTGAACTTGCAAGTTACTTACCCTCACCCTGAACTCATGTGCATGGGGCAGGAGCCATCATGGGGTTTAGGTTTTCCTTGACTTGTGTGTCACAGGAGTGGGAGTGGCTGTTTCTGGATTTTGTGGTTTAGGACAAATGACCATCGACAAAGCAAGTACAGTTAACCCAAGAGGCAAAGGCGATGTCTTTGAGAGGGAAGGTGGAAGCCAGGTTAATCAGAGCAGGACAAAGCAAATTCAAAGCTGATTCCGTTGAATCTAGATATAGGAATGAGTCATCTTCATTGTCTTTGTAGTATGGGTTGTGCAGGCTGTCCCTTCAGGCCTGATGTTCCTGGCAGTCTAGTCATGTTCCTGTGGTGACAGGAAGGCTACAATTTCCCCCTATTTCTTTGGTTGTATCTTGCATTAATGTTTGTTGGAGTTACCTTCTGTACTGGATCTAAAATTAACTTAATAGTATTAGAGGGAAACAAGAATTCTCTCAGTCTTCTGCACAAGGATATTTTGAAGGCCTCTATGACTTTGTATGAGTACTTTATTTGGGATAAATGTGTATACACGACAAATTAAACTGATGGATTAAAAAGAAATGTTCTAGGATCTCAAAAGTGCACTTAATTTATTTGTTGCTCATACCTGGGCTGGTAAGGAAGCTCTCTATATTGATTGTGTTTAGGAAGGAAGAGATACTGTAGGTTTCAAGGCCCAAGGACTATTTGGGGTGTGTTTAGACTTCACAGTTGATGAGATGACCTGGAGCCTGTACTTTATTATAAACATCCACATACATATTCTTATTATCCTAGAGATTAATATGCTGTAGAGGGAAAAAGGTGGTGGAGATGCCTATCAGATATTTCTTTACTCACATGCACCTGGGCATTGACTTCATGCTCCAATAACTGAAGAAAACCACATAGTTGTTATGTTAAAGGCACTAAATATTTGTTGTTGAATATATGCAAAAGCAGTGTTTCTTAAAAAGAAATCCCAAACCATTAACTGCTAGTCTTATTCTGTTTACAATCAAAAAATTGGCCTGTTCCCTATTTTATTATAATTCTATATATCTCTTATATTACTCAAACTCCCTGTCCTAACTGGGAATTTTTAAGCCTGATAACAACAGAAGTGTAACTGTCTGCATTGTGAAGCTGGTAAACTGAAGCACAAAGGAATGAAAATCTTTCCCATGATCATGCAGGAAAGGCTGTAACAGGATGAAGAACTGAGCTGAACTGAAGTTCAGGGTCTTAACCATAATGCTGTCCTCTGCACGTCTGCTGAAATACAACATTTTATTTAATTAAAATGCCAGGGTTTTGTAGAGGAGGGTTTAACCATAGGAGAGCTTGGGTTGAAAGGCAAACTGCACTGCACAAGGAAGCACAGGCATGGGTATGCGGGTGAAGAAAGAAGTGTGGGAACATCAGGAGCAGGATAGGCTCAGTCTGTGTGAACAGTTGGGGAGTTGCAGTGGCAGGGAAGGGGTTGTGTAAAGGAGGAACAGCAAAAAACAGTGATGAAAGAAGTGGAGTTGAACTGTTGAAGGCAGAAGGTGGTGGTGACCTAAACTTGGATGTTTACACTGGTGGAAAAGATGTAAAAGAGACAGCTGAAATGGCTGTTCTCAGGAGTCTTCTTGAAGAGTAGGTATAGCAGTGGTGGGGTAGATCAAAGGTAGATCATCTTATTTTAGCAGGTTAATGCCCTGAGGCCATGGGATTACCCGTGCTTGTGCCATAACCCACAAATGAGATTTTGATGGTCTGAATGGGTGTCCCTGGGCATGGTGGGATTAGAAAAGTGTGGTAGTTTCCCACTGTACTCTCCACTGTGGGCAGTACTCGTGGCTTTGCAGAAAAGACTTGGAGAGGCTTACAGACTGCAGGATGATTTGGTGAAGGAACAGCTGTCAAAGATGTTAGAAGAATTTCTAACTTTGATTATGATTTCACAAAACTAAACCAAACTGGCTTCAGAGAAAAAAAAAAAAAAAGCCAGAATATGTGCTTTTACCACTGATCAAAATCTCAGAGTGACAAAGTAAATGATCTGTGGGAAATTATTTCACTGACTTTAAAAACTGCTTTATGGAATTGGCTGCTGTACTTGGACATGAATTTGGACAGATAAGGTTGCTACTAAGTAACTGAAATTTAAACTTAATTTAATTTTGGAAACTGCCTTGCTATAGTTTGAACTTTGTAAAATATTGGAAGAAATCTACACAAACAGAGAAATTCTGTGCAAAACACAAAGGAATGCAGAGGATGACCTGAACTTGAGAAACCAGAATCAAAGCAAAAAATACCAGGATAATCACAGTGCACAAGAGCTGACTAAAGATAAGGGAGTACAGAGTGCAGAGAAGGACAGTAAACTCAGCCACGCACCAAGCTCTACTATGTTTTTCCAGAGCCAGAATGCTAATTAGTCTTCCCATATAAAAAGAAATTTTCCCATAGAGAGCCAGGCTAGATATGGCGGTGCAAGTGTTTCGTAGATCTAATTCCCAGTTAACAGGACTGTGGCTGGCTGATACTGTCTTATCAGAAGGTCGTCTCTGTCCCATGGGGCTGACTGCAGCTTCCAGTGCGATCCAGGCCCTGCAAGCCGGCACAGAGTGGAGCAGCTGGCTGGTCTCCCCAAGGTCAGCCAGCTGAAAAAGAGCACAGAGCTGCCTGCTGGCTGGGCTCCCAAGGCCGGCTGGCTGAAGAGGAAAGTACAAGCGGGAAAGTGAAGTTGCGGCCAGCTGCTCCAATATGACCGATTATCTAAATGTTTAAGACCTCCCCTGAGGCCTGGAAATAATTGTGGTTTTGCCGTACTTGATGGTGGCCAAATCATGACCTTGCTATGTTCTGACAGAGGTGAATAAATGAATGTAGGAAGCCCCCTCATTTATTGGGGTGAATTCTTTGTGTTGCAGGAATAGTAGTGGTTGCTTCTCCTCCTTTCTGTGCAAGCAGTCAAAGAGTGTACAAACTCCAGGTGTTACCCATTCCTCTCCTCTCTCTAATGCACTCTTGAGTAGTGCGGAGGGAGTCAGAAAGCTGTGCTGGGGAAATCATCGATACTACTTTATTTCTTCTGCAGAGCAGTGTAGCATCAGAGACCAAATAATTTGCTGCTCGGCTTCATGAGCTGCCTCATAGTCAAAAGGCCTTCACTATTATTAAGATCTCCTTAACTGCCGCTGTAGCTGCCAAATAATCAGGAGCACTGAGAGAAAAGAAGATACACTACAAATTATGGTGTGGGAACTCAATGCCACCACCACTGTCAGAGAAAAGCAGTACTCCAACTCTCTTTACAAGAGCACAGTGGAGAGCTTTAGCCTGTCCAGATGCAAATATTTAAAATAATGCTTGGTGGTGCATCAGGACAGCCTGCTCAATAAACTGACAAAAGACAAAAGAAACATCAAGAATAGCCACCCATCCTGAGCAACTTGAGTGTTGTACATGACCAGATCCTCCTTTAACAACTTGTAGCATATTTCTAGAAGTAGAAATGTAATCATTTTCCAGAAGGAAGGACAATTTTAAAAATGCTGAGACCTGACCTCATCTGATCAGGTTTTATTAAATTTCAAATTCAACAGTATAAAATGTATCCTCTACATGTGTAGATCGGGCACAGTGGTACCTAATAAAAGCAAAGGATTGCTGCAGATATTATCTTTACAAGACATTTTCCATTAGGAAAGAAATTCATATCCCTCTGTGTATTATAGTTTGAAAAGTGATAGGAAAAACTAGCTGAAGGCTTATTTACCATTTCTGAGGTGCATATACCCTCAGAAAATACCTCACATTAGAAAATTGTTGGCCATTATATTTTCACTAAAATGGTGATTCAGCTGGATTTGCATTTATGCGGAGGACTGTTCTGACTTAGCACATCATCTGTTGATTTTGTAGGAGCGACCTAAGGATTAGCCAAAACGAGGTAACATATTAAAGTGTGTGGTTTTGTTAATGGCAATGAGATGCAGTTTTGCATCATGTTAAAATGTGGTAATTACCATGTTTTCTATCTAATATTTCTGTGAGGATGAATCTTTAATACATGTATAAGTATGTTTAAGCAGATAGAGGTTCAAATTTATTTTAGAAACGTCAGTAACCAGAATGTCAGATTTGGTACATGTGAAACATCAGGATGCTGAACAGGTCTTCAATAGTTATTTTAATGAGAACATAAACCAAATCTGCTTTGTTGCTTTATCCCCCTGAAAAATTAAGGGTATATTTTCATTGTAGGAGTTAGACTTTCACAAACAACTCTGATAATGTAGTAGTGGAAGGTATTTCATGCAGATTAGTCCTTAGGGAAATAAAGTGAACAATAAAGAACTTCCATGGACTGACTTAGGAATAAGACCCTTCAAACACCAAAAAAACCCACACAGCAATATATTTCTCCCTCCTCCTCTGCCTCTCTTTATCCCCTCTCTCCCCAGGACACCCTCTACCCCCACCCACCTCCAAAACAAAATAGCAGTGCTGGAAAATCATCAAACGGGACTCAGTGGGAAACGCGACCAGATGCACAGCTGAAGGGCACTGGAAAGAGATCCAGTTCTGTAGTGAGAGATAATGAGGTAGACCTTTTAGATAATTGTGTCTAATAAGCTATTATTGTAGTAGCAGGTTAGTACTGGAACTATTTTTAGTTTGGGAATTTTTGGAATTTTTGTGCATTTACTGCAGTTGTCTTAAAGCTGCACCTTTTGTAATCACTGTAATTCTAAAGTTGTTGGGAACCTATAGTGTCAAGAAATTACTATAACAGTTTGGGTTTGTGGTTCCTGTCTGGTCTTAGTCAGTGGGTACCTGCATTATAAAGCTGGTGCTACAGAGGTGTCTGGGTTGGTAAGCACAGCAAAGAGCCTGAGGTTGAAGACTGGACCATCTTTTTACTCTCTGCAGGGTATTTTCACATAACTGCATTGAGGTAATGACGTGGCAAAACTTTCACTGATGTCCTTTTTGTTCTCTCATAATGTTGAAAAAAAGAGTTTAGTTCCAGCTATGCCAAGCTGCCGTTCTCTGTGAACCCTAACCTCACTCAGAATAAATCATAGCTTGTCATACACGCAGCTGCATACCATACCTCTCTTTAATGTGTGTGTTACATATTTGCTTAATCTACTGAGCTTATAAATTGTTTCTAAAATACTTGTAGTATCACAAAATCATTCAGGTTAGAAGGGTTATCTTAAGATTTTCTGGTCCAACCCCCTTCTCTAAGCAGGATGAGCTAGACCCAAGTGCCCAGGGCCACATCCAGCTGGGTTTTAAGTATGTTCAAGAACGGAGACTTCACAGCCTTTTTGGACAGCCTGTTCCAGTGTTTGATCACCCTCATTAAAAAAGTGTTTTCTTGTGTTCAGATGGAATTTTGTATCTTTTAATTTGTGCCTATTGCCTCATGTCCTGTCAGTGGGTACCACTGAGAAGAGACTTGCTTCATCTTATCCATTCTCACCTGTCAGGTATTTATAAATATTGATAAGTTTTTGCCCCAAGCCATCTGTGTTCCAGGCTGAACAGACCCATCTCTCTCAACCTTTCCTTATATGAGAGATTCTCCAGTCTCTTAATTATCATCAGTGAGTACTTTTGAAGCATTACCCAATTCATCAATGTATTTGTGAGTTTTCAGCTGGTAGACCAATAGCAGATTCCTTCTCTTTTAATGTGGTAAATGAAAACAAACACAATGCTTTCAGAATAACAGTCCTTTAATGTAAAGATTATCAATAAAAAAAATGTGTGTACTTACTTCTTACTTTGACAAAATTCAAATATTTCTCTTTTTTCTTTTCCTCTCTCCCCTCACCCCCCGCCCCTTTTTCTCTTGGATAATGTTCCTGTTAGACTACTGCTTATGAATTCCTGGCTCTCTATTTTTGGGATGGATTCTTTACTTCAGCCCAGCAATCAGCCCCACTCATCCCTGTTGTCTTTACTTTCAGTGTGCTCCTTAGGGAAGCTCTGCATCTGCCTCCGTAAAGAGGCTCCTTAAGGAGAGTCTGCCTCCGGACTTGATAGGTCACACTTTTTTCCTTGGTAGGGCAGTTTTTTTATCTAACCTCAGTTACATATGCCTCTTCTCACCCTGCAGACCATACTGACAGATCCTGTCCCTCCCATACACCCTTACCACATGTTTTTTTGCACAACTTTTTGTGTTTGGTTTTGTTTTTTGTTTTTTGTTTTTTTTTTTAAGAAAAATTAATTATATTAATGAGTACTGGAGTCTGCTGTTGCTTGTCAAAAAAAGTGAAAAAGACATTTCTTTTTATAATGAGAAGAAATATTTTGAAAAAATACTAACATGTTACATTTGCATCAGCAAATGGGAATTTATTCCAGTGGTTTCCTGTTTGCTCCAGAAGGTGGTAATTTTCTGTATTAACTTCAGTTCCAGAACACAATCAGCGTAAAGTATTGTTGTTAATAAAAAGGATCCTCTTACTTAATAGTTCTTTTGCTGAATGAAGGTTAATTTTGTCCCATATGGCTTCATCTGTGTTAGTCATATCAGCACAGAAAATTAGCAAGTCTGTGAAGTGATTCTCAGAGCAAAGGAGATTTACTCTCTGAATTTGTTCTATTTATTCTACAGGAACTATTGTTCGACGGCATCGGATTCCACTTCCACCTCCTCAGGAAGATCAGTTCTATACTATACATCACTTCAATATCAACATAGAAGTAATCCTTTATGCCCGAAAATATAAGATTATAGATTGTGACCAGTTTACAAAAAATTTCCTGAGGAAGATGGGAGTTAGATTAAATCCTCCCACAGGTCGTCCAGATGACCCGTACACCAAAGAGCGGCAAAAGGTCAGATGAGGCAGTAATAGAGAAAACTTGATTTTAACAGAAGTGCCATTGCTATTAGCAATATGCATTATATAAAAAATTTCTTTAATAGCAAATAGAAAGTAGCTATTTCAACATAATAAATCCCTAGAGGAAACTTGCTTTTTAAAGTTCTATTACATGACTCATTGTACTAACATAGTGAAGTCCCAAATATAACTGATTTTCTCCTGATGTGTCCACACACATTTTGGAACAGAACAAAATTAATTGATAAAAATAAAATAAACCTTTCAGTATTAAACTGAAAAGAAAAAAAATAGGCCTATTACATGTTCTACTTAGGATTTTGCTTCAGCTAATTTAATGATAATAAACACTTTAAAGTGTTTAGAGGAAGATCTAATTGGCATTGTGGTTCAAGCACATCCATAGCTTCCTGCAGACTCACTTGGTCTATTCATGTCATCTTTCATCACTACCCCACATGTTATTAACAGCTCTTTGCATGTGTAAAGCAAATTCTTCTGCCACACAGAACCCCGCACTCTGCAGTTTTAAGACTTCTGAGGTTTCTGAATGCAGCTCCCTCTTTTATGAGTATATGGGAACACATACACACCTCCTCCTAAAATCTCACACAGCTCCTAGATGCTATGTGGATTCCTCTCTGTAGGAATTTGGGTTCTTTTCTCTGGGAATAGTAGTGGGAGTGATGTTTTCTGTAGGGAATAATGACAATTTCTTTCAGTTCTGTTTTCCTTGATTAATACGAGTGCAGATGGCACTGTATTTTTCTCTCGACCTGACTGTGTGAGGACTATTGGCCCACAATATGCAGCCTGCTGTGATAGATCCAGTCTAGTACTCTGAAAGCAACAAATACTCCATGTGTCTCTGCATTCAACTTAATCCTCCTATTGAGAAAACTGCTGCAGCTCTCAGCAGCAAAAATGGAAGGTAATTATGACTGAGATGTGCAGGACAATTTGCATATATCTGAGGCACTCTCAGGCCAACATGTTGGTTTCACTTCATTCATGCTTTCAAGCTTTTTGCAGTCCCCCATTGAAAAGAAACATTTGTAATGTCTCCTGGTTCTGCGCAGTGGGCACTCAGGCTGGCCATGGGTTGCTTTTCCCTTACTCTGGCCTTGTAGGTAACAGGTGTGTGTTAACACACACGGAGTCGTCTTGATGCTGTCAGATTGTGTCAGCGTTATGTAAGGTATTGCATAACCTGCTTAGATTTTTATTTTTTTTTTGTAAAAACAACAAGCAAAACATTAATGTGTTGCACATATGTGTGCCTAAAGAGAATGGAAAGGGGAAAAAGATTTGAGAAATAAGAACATCAGGAGACCAGAAGTAACTGAAATCTATGTCTTAATATTCTCAGTTGTTAAGAAATTACAGAAAAGTTACCTAGCAAATTCTGGCTGCTTTATGCTTTCACTTCCCTGTGACTAATTTGTGGAAGGTAATTTTTTTATTTATTAAGGGTGGATTGCTCTGGGCTGCTTTGAGCAAAATTAAATCAGACTCTCAAATTGCACCAGAGTCCTAATAGAAGGCCAGAAAATGAAGGTATGAATGAAAGTAAGGAATATGATGAGATAGAAAATGAGACCAATGAAAAATGTAGCAACCCCCTTAGATTCGTATTTCTGTATTGTTGGAGATGGTATTCCATGGATGGTGATGTTACCTGGCTCTGTGGCTGTATTTGGTTGCTTGTTGCATCTTCAAGGGGCAGGAAGGAAGAAAGATGGTACTGGGATGGTAAATACCTGAGTTGTAGCATATGAGTGTGATGATGCCTGAAATGGAAAGTGCTGCAGATCAGTAAGGACATTGGCAGGCAAAACTTGTTTCTTCTCTCCTTATTTTAAGATTTGATGGTCTGAAAGAATGGGCCTTTTCTCTCTCAGATTTTTAAGGCCAGAAGATGCATCAGTGGATAAATAGAAATGTAGAGAGTTATATAAACTGCCCATAGTCAACAGTTCTTTCTGTTCAGACAGTTCAGCTTATGTTGTCTGTCACCATTCTTCTTTGGAAGCAATTTTGTGGAATTTTGTAGATTAGGACGACTGTCTTGTCCCTTTCACCCACTTTATACATGATGGATTTTGACTTAGGAAAAACACCCTGTTCAGGTCACCATTTATATATGTGACTGGAACTAGCAGTATGTAAATGCAGTCCTTGGATTGGATCGTCATCCTGGGATCCGATTTAATGCAGTGCAACTGCTTTTGGAGCAACTGTGACTGTAGATAGCATCTTGTTATAGAGCACATCAGCTGAAATATATCTTTAGTTGGAGATTTGCTATTCCTTTTCAGACCCATGAGTGTATATCGAGAGGAGAAAATACCTACCCAGTGCCTGCCAACTGTATGACATGAATCAAAAGTTAATGAACTATGGTTTAAAGCTAAAAGAAAATACCAAAGGGAAAAGAAAGAATTAATTCTCTATACCATATCATCTATAAAAAAATAATTTTTAAGGAAATAAATCAGGAAGGGTGATGCTATTTGGAGCTGTAGTCATCTGATTACCATGGGCAATTTGTTGAAAATGTGAGCTGTACTATGAATAATTTAACAATTCTCTGATCTGAAGGACCTTATTTCAAGAAAAACAAGGATCAAAACCCATCTAAAATTGTTTTCATATATTTTTTCCGAGGGCAGAGCAGCCCTGTAAATAGTTCTTTGGTAACGGCATAAATAGTGTTTCATGTCTTGTAATTGTGTGGTGTTATTTGAAAATCCTAAAAGCATGTTCTAAGATTAGATGTTACCCTGCAGTTTGGTATCCTGCTTTTAACACCAAGTAATTAAAAAGGTGTTTATCTTATTTTCTCCTTTATCTGCAGATTCTGGATAGTATGAAGCCATTGCGCCCTTATGAGCGCATTGATACTTTGAAACAATTTCTGGAGCATGATGGACATGTTTTACGTTTTTTCTGTGTGTGGGATGACCCAGAATCCATGTTTCATGACCCACGGGAACTTGTTCTGCACTATTATTTGTCTGATGATACTATTGATATAAAAGAAATTATACCGGTAAACTCAGGCCGGGATGCAGTTCCACTTTTCCTCAGAAGAGATAAGCTTCCAAAGGTGAGGAATGAAAATTTCTGCTTATTTCAAATTCTTCCGCTAATGAAGAAATATTAAATGCCTTGATTTGAAAATCCTATATTAGGCTTGTAATGATATTTAGAAAGTGTTATCAGAGTTTTAATCATAATTGCATGACTTAGGTTTTGCACACATATTCATATAATAACTTAATAAATGATGGAATAAAATAAGTTTAGGCTTGTCATGCTTAAATTAAAAGGAGAGAGAATTTAGGGAGAAAGATACCCTGTGATTTTTTTCCTCCCATATTAGTGTATTAAGGTAAATGTATTAATAAAGCTCTACAGTAATGGAAGTCCAGAAAATTAATTAACATTGGTAAACTGAAGTGAATTCACATCTGATCCATATAACTTATATTTGTAACCTTTTGAAAAGTCCAGTTTTAGTGTTCCTTAACATTACTTCTTTGTAGTAAATCTAGAGTGATTTCTTAAAATTAAGTTCCTAGATTTGAGACCTTATACAAAGCTAGTTGAAATCAATAGGAATCCATAAATAAGCTTTGTTGGGCATTAATTGGGTGCTTATTTGAGAAGGCTTCTCTCAGAGAAATCTTCAAGGGGTTTGAGTTCTCTGTAACCTTTTATGATTATAAAATTAACGAGCTGGATACACTTCTGTATCGCTCCAGATGGATCCTGATGATAGAATAACATCAACCCAGAGATGGAGTAAAGTACTAGGGAAACTTTTTCCTCCTTCTAAGACTGGTAATCTGTTTGTGATGCCATAGATGTACATGAGATTTTATACTAAAAAATGAACAGGAAATACTTTTCTCACCTTGTCTATCCTATGTTCTGAGATGCTGATTTAGCAGTGGCTCTGTGTTAACAGATCCCTTCTACTATTGAAGCGCGTATTGCAATTTTAAGGTCTGGCTTCTTCCTCTGAATTCAGGGGAAATTTTGAGGAGGACAGCAGAGGAGATCAGTCAAAAGTTGGGGTGTCAGGGAAGGTAGTAAGACAAAATAACGAAGTTTGGTTATCCTGCATCAGCAGTTTGTTTGTAATTTTTTAAAAATGTAATGTTTGTGTGTTAAGTTTGAGGTCACTGGGATAAATTACTATTGTAATTTTGAAACTCACAAATGTAAGAAAAATACTAAAATTTTTGCCAGTAGAATCATGCTGACTTGAATCCCCTGTATTTATTTGTGCAGTGGTTAGCACAGTAGGATGAACCCTGAGTGGTTCTTTTGCATGTTTTTATAATTATTACCAATCAAAATAATAGCCTTTAGAGCAGATGCTGACAATGATGTGCTGCTTCGGGTGTGCTAACCTTTGCTTTTCATTTGTTTCCAAGAAAAAAGAGACTTTACTCTTGGATACTCAGTAAGATTCTGAATGCTTCTTCTGGCATATGTACTGGCTTTTGACATATACACTGGCTTTTTGGTTTGGTGGTGTAATCTTACCTTAGAATTTACTAAAAATTCTCCCAAGAAAATACTACAATAACAGTCAGTCTGTAAAAAAACCTGCTAGTTCCAAGGTAACCGAGTTCTCTTTCTTCACTATTAACTGTATTTCTTAAGAGCTGGTCTCTTTTCTTGCAGTATGCTCCCACTGGGCTGTATCAGCCAGGCACAATCACCAGTCGGACTGTTCTCAATGTGTTTGGAAAGTTGGTAGGAAACAGAGGCCATTACATTCTGGACAATCGTAAGGTCAGGTACTATTAAATGCTTCCAGCTGTTGAATGCCTTTATAGTAGTTTTTGTAATTTCTCTGGTAGTTATCCTCTACAACAAAGAGAGTTATTTATAAAATTGTGTTGCCACTGGAGAATAGTCCAGATGAAAACTACTGAGATTTACTGTATGTAAATTCCACATTTGTGAAAGTGAGGTAGCTTAGCATGGGGGTGAAAAATACTTGCAAATGGACTATGAAGGTTATATTTTAAATTACATGCAATAAATGACCTAGATTTTAAGAAAGGTTGTGGAGTTCTGAGATTTATAGAGCTGCTGTTTAAATGTTCCCTCTTTTATTAGACAGGAGCAGTGCATCAGGAATTTTACAAAGACAGTGACCTGAAAATAGGGGCAGTAATTAATGTTTGGGGAAGGAAGATAATACTCTGTGACTGTGATGAATTCACTAAAGAATACTACAGGACAAAGTACGGAATCGGTAAGTAGTGATAATTATTCTTTCCTTATGAGCATTTTTATACTTCTGAGTTTGACAGAGCTGTCTTCAAATTTTATTACTGACAAAACATGTTCATTAAAACCTTTAGCAATAACAATCTGTTGTAGGCTGTTAACAGCAAAGCAGTAATTTTGCAGGTGATCCAGAAGGGCTTTCTTATATGTTACTCCATTGAAAACTAACACATAATGTGTTCTGTTCCTAACTGCCTCTATTTTAAAAATAGAATGACAAAATAGTCATATGAATAGACTGCCAGTTCTTCTTTTCTCCCCCACCCTCCCATTCCAATAGCTGTGTTTGCAGTCAGAAACTGAGTGGGTAAGTAGAATGAGCTCAATTATTCCCCATTACACTATGTTTCATTTTATATGGATGTCAGAATCCTCACATAATAAGATTTTCTGACACAACAGTAGCAGTCTATCACCTCATTGGTTTTTACAATGCAGTTTTGTGTATTCTGGACCATTAGAGTATGTATCCTGTGAAGTTTGAGCACTGAATTCTGGAAACATTTAGCAACTGTGTCCATAATGGAAAAACATTTTGGAAATGTCTTAACAACAGGGGCTTTCGTTTATCTGTCTTTGAATTCCCTCAATCAGACTTGCTAATAGTCCTATTATGGACATCTTTCTGCAAAAATGACTTAGTTAATTTCTGGCAGTTTATTCATTCAATAACTATAGCTGAGTCTCTGACTCTTCAGAGATGGTTGGAAGAATCCTACTGTGGCCTTTCTCTGACACTGTGAAACAGAATACCTGACTATTTCTTCCAGCTTGACTTGTGATTAGATAGAGTGTAGTGTTTGGATCAAGGCTTGTCTGATGCACTTGAATTAAATGATGTAGGGCTGCCATTAAAACACTAAATTTCTTAATTGGCAAAACATGTCTCATTGGGACTTTTTTAATAATAGCTTGGCATGCCTGTACCAAAATAAATCTTTTCTTATACTATCCAGTGTGTGAGGAAGCCTTATTCAATAACCACAGTATTATCTATAATAATAGTGAGTTTAACTCCAGAGATGCAAAACAGGGGTTTCTCCCCTGAGAATTTCATCAGCCAAGACCGCTGCTGCTATTTGGCAGCAATATCCTCTGTCTGAGCAAAATATCCTGGAAGAGTGAATGGGGACTTCTTACTCACAGCAGGCAATAAATGAAATGCAGATGACCATTCTGTATCAACCAAGCAATGCAACAAAGTGTTACACAAATGCAAAGGCTCTTCCCCTCCTGCAATGCTGGATCAGTAATTACTGGTTATATCTCCTACTATAAAAGTTAGGTGGCTTTGCAAGCAGAAGTCAGAAGTTGCTGATGTGCAAAATTCTAGAAAATTGGGACCGTAGGTGATCTAGTCCCTTCTCATTGTTATGAGGCAGGATGGTGTATATACATAGATTGTCACTGACTGATGTTTGTATAGCCTTTTATCAGCATCCACCAGTAGGGGAGATTTCTTTGCCTCCTTGAGGTATCTTGTGCTAATCCTGCTGAATATCTGCTCTGAAGCTGGTTTGTGTAAACTGAGAAGATTCACTTGTCTTACCATTGTTGGACATGAAGAACAACTGCTCAGTATCCTCTTTTTATAACATACTTGTACATATTTGAACACTATTCCAATACACCATCTTACCACCCTACTCCCCTCCTAGCCCATTTGTTGCTAGGGGAAACCTTTCAGTCTTTCTCCATAGTCCATTCTTTCATATCTGTGATAATTTTTCTAATTTTTCTCAGTGCTTTCTCCAGTTTCTCTGCCTCCTTAACATGACACAAAGATGTGCTCTAGCTAAGACCTTTGGGAAACTGTGAAGTGTTTTGCACATACCTTTAAGGATACATGATGGCAGAGACTCTGGCTAACATGAAAAAAAACATCCATCTTGATGCAGTGAGTCTTGTTCACAGAAAATACACACTTTCTTAGACCTAAGAGGTTCTCACTGTTTGCTGTGAAATTCTTTCCTGCTTTCCCCATCAGGATTTTAAAAAATGTAGGCATGACTTTTGAACTAGAAGGGACTAGGAGTAGAATCAAGGTAGTTTTTAGCTTAGCAGGAGGTTTTGAGAGAGAAAAGGTGAGGCTTCACCTTTTATTCTTAGTGAATTACAAATTTTGTTTGTGTCTGATGGACATACAAGGTACTCTCAGTGGGCTCAGTCCCACAAAGTGCCCAGCGTTCTGCTCCCATCCAATTAAACACTGAAACATGCTTAATTGCAGTTTGAGTCCAGGGAGACCATTTACTTGAGTAACAGTAAGCAAGTGGATAAATTAGTTCTTACATCAAGGCACAGTGCTCAGCACCTGATGGCATCAATCCAGCTGTTTGTTATTGTGTTTTCACATTACTCCAATCTATACTCTTCTGCCAAAGCCATTAAAAAGGCCGACATTTATTTTTGACTCTGCAGTTTCAGCATAAGTTGCTTGCCGATGCAATATGCCCTTTAGGAGAATTAAGGGCAGTTTATATTTCCCTTGAAGTGCATGATTATGATATCTGATGTATTTCCAATGTTGGTTTTGCCTGTTTTACTCTTGCTACTGTTTGTGAAAAGCAAAGGAGAACTTTTCCATGGGTAAACAATAGCTGATGCCCTTCAATAGGAAGCTAATTACATTACTGTCATCTAGCAGTGCTATGAATGCAAGAGAAAATACCTTAATGTGTGATATTATCTGCCCAGACTTGCTAGTGCAGCCTCAGAGGAGGAGAAGAATACTTTATAGCCATGTAGGTGTTGTGGTCACCCAGATGAAACATGAAATATACTGATATGGACAGGTGGGATGTTGATACTCATTAATTTCTCTAAGTACAGTATCTTAGCACAGAGTTGAGTATAAAGTGTTCTTTCTTAAACAGCAGATTGTTTCTGAAGGAAGAAAACCAGCAAAATCTGGTTTCCTAATGATTTTTATTCAATGTCCCAGCACTTCCCAAGCCTGTCTGCTATGCCTTTTCACAGCACCCTGCAATCATTCTCCTGTCTCAGCTCTCCTCGCCCTCCCACCCCCTCATTTCTCAGGCTCCCTCTCTGACCTGCTGCCTGGGCAGAGCAGCATGCAGGGTGAGGGGCTAGCCAGTACATGTGTGCTTTTGGCCAGGCAGCTGCTGCTGGATAACAGCTGACTTCTTGCTTTTCCCTCAGTGGGGGCATTAAAGCCTGCTGCCAATTTTCACTAGACTCGTCAGAGATCAGAGTCTCTCTGGCGTCTAACCTCTCCGCTACACATGGTGGGGACTGAGCAGCGGCTTCTAAATATGCTTGTTCATTTACAGATGCCTTTTTTCCTCAGGTAACTAGAATAATCATGAAGTATGACTCCATAAAGGGAGATTTTTCTTTGAATCAGAATACACACTGCCATGTTTCAGCTGCATGGATGGCTCTGTGACCCCTAGATTTTCTTTAATCCTGCATGTAAAAGTTGTGAAGATGGTGATATTGCCTTTTTATTTTACTTATCTAAATTGTGAAACAGACTCTCGCAAAAAACAGGTCTCAGTTGTTTGCTGTATATCCCTTGTGTACAGACATCATGTTAGCGATGTCATCCCTCCAGGTTATTGCCATCTCTTATATTGTCCAAGGCTAGTGGGATTTCTCTCCCCCATTCTTGGCTGTAATGCTCAGAGGTGCCTGTCCTCTTCCTATGAAGGTAGGATTTCTTGCCTGCCTGCTGTATACTGGTATTCAGTATGGTTATCACTCTAATCCAAAATATATAGCACTTGACTCTTCCTTGAAATACAATTTTCTCTCAATCACACATGAGGGTTTTCCTACAGTTCTTTGACTGAGAGCAAAAGGTATTCTTATAATGTACACCAAAATCTTAGTGTCTATTGAAACCGAAAGCAGACAAGCTCATTCAAGATGGTTTAGTGCTGCCTCTGTGGCAACAAATTCTTCTTGAGGAATTTAATTTTTCTTACTAAGAAGACTACCCTATCTTCAGATTGTTTATATGCTAAAGATGTGGCTGGAGCTGTTTTGTTTCTTGCTGTTCCCAGTGCTTGTTCAAATCTCACTCAGTTTTTGATGAGAGAAAAAGTTACTAGTATGGGGTACATGTTTGATATAGTGGGTGAAATACAGCCCCTCGTGCCAGCCCATCTCCTGCTGGGCATCAGTTGATGCAGTAACAAGGGGTGAAACTGTCCATGGGGAAAATGTCTGTGTTATTCTTTCTGGAAGTAGAAGTTTGTAATCCTGGACTCTTAATTTGTCCTCTACCCGCTGTAAATTCACACTGAAAATGTTACAGCCTGGAAGAAGAGAGCATTGATTCCTTTTCCAGACTGGACAGAGGTAATTTTCCTAAGAAACAATGATAACCTTGAGAAAAGTGCATTTGGTGTGTAAGTACAAGTTGTCTGTCTGATTCTACCCTAATGCTGTGTGGCAGAGCTCAGGTATGGCTATTAGTCTACTGTACCTGGCTGGCTGTTTGAAAGTTGCAGAAATGAGTTTATAACTAGTTTTGTAAACTGCCTTTTTCCATGGCAGTTTCTTTTTTAATTTCCTGATTTGCAGGAGAGAATCTGAATACATAATCCTTCAAAATTCTGGAAACTGTTAGTGGCGCAAGGCTGGATGTTTGCATTGTTCTCTTTAGTGAATCTGAATGAAGAAAGGTCCTTTTACTTTGGGAAAAGGATGGGAATCAAAATGCCAAACTTCTCTTTGGACTTTGTTTACTCCAAGCTTGGGTTGTGGGGGATTTAATGTAGTCTCTGGGGTTAACACAGTATTCCTCTTAATTTGTAGTTTCCTTCTAGTTTATAAATCTAATTTTGATCCACATGTGCTGAAGTACATACAAAGGGACGTGTTACATGTTTTAGCATTTCTCAAGGATTGCCTTATGCATGTTAACGCGGTGTACGCTGTGACCCGCGTGTAAACACAGCAGCTTGTCTTTAGAGTTTACCAGTTCAGCGAAACGCCCTGGTTTCCCAAGCGCTCTGGGCAGGAGCTGTGTTACCTGCAGCCGTGCAAAGGGAAGGGGTTTGTTTCTGTTACAAACCTCCGGAGGGGGGAGGGGGCGGGAAATACTAGTGCAGATTAACATATTGCATAATTTACAGACCTCAACGTGGTTTTTTTGTTGTGGTTTTTTTTGTTTTTTTTTTTTTTTAAACAGCTGGACGACCACTTGCGAGAGGGGCCGGAGTGCTGGGCCGGGGCGCCGGGCGCTGAGGGGAGCGGCGCGCGCTGCCTTGCCGCGCGGCCACTGGGTGGCGCTGTGGGAGCGCGGGAACGGCCGGCTGGAGAGGGGGGGGGGGGGGGGGGGGGGGAGCGGAGGCAAGCCACGCGCCACCGCCCACCGGCCCGTGCCCCGCGGGCGCGCGCGGCGGCGCGGGGCACGCGCCGGGTGCGCGGTCGGTCCCTACCGGGGGGAAGTGTGTGTGGGGGGTGGGGGGGGACCCGCCGGGGGTCTCCTTCTTGTCGCCGCGTTCGTCGTAAGAGGGGTTGCGGGTGCCGGCTGCGGAACGTGGCCCACCGGAAGTGTCCCGCGAGGCAGTTTGGCCCCTGACGGTGGTGTTGGGCAGCGTGGCGCGTCGCTGCGCGTTCGCGCGTGCCCTTCCGCCGTGACGGTCGCTTTGGAAATTTTCCGAGTGGACTTTTGCATTCGGGCTCGGGCTTTGTGCTTGGCGTGGTGCTGCGGGGCCCCTTCCTGGCCGGCCCGGGCGGAGGCACCAGCGCTTCGAGCCAGGCCACGTTCTCCGAAGAGGTGAAGGCCAAGGGAGATCTCTTTGTGTTTTCCACTTAAAGAATGACTCTGACATCTGACTGCTTTTCATATTTTTCAACTTCATGCTGCTGTTAGGCAAGCCACGTTTTAAGAATGTTGCCTTGATCTCATACAGCCATGTTTCAAGCATTTTAATTGCAAACCAATTCAGAACATGCTCCCAGTGACAGCGATTTTGTTGTTCTCTGTGTGCGCTGAAACCCGTGCTACAAGTATTGGTTATTCATCCCCATTTCTTCGGTTCTGGGTAGAAAAGTTACATTTTAAAGAAAATACCTTTAGTTAACGGGATTCACTTTTATACACTGCTCACTTACATTACTCTTTGCCCCCTGGACTATGGTTTGTGATCCATCTTCTTCCAGTTTGCCTCATGTGTTTGTCCCTTTTATAGGGCAGCAGCTCCAGCCCACCCAGGTGCGGAGGTGCTGCTGCTCCATGCAGGCAGCACCTCTTCTGACCTTCTTACTGCACCTGTGTCGGGGCCGGGAGGGCTCTTTGGATTCCAGTGAAAGCAAGCTGGGCTTGGGGCCACAGCAAAGAGGGCCAGCCGCAGCCTGGGCTGCCCAAAAATCGAGGAAAGTGAGTTATCACTCTCTGCTCAACGTTCATTAGACCTGATCTAGGTACTGTGTCCCCTTTTGGGTCTGCCATGACTGGAAAGGCAGGGACCAGCCAGGGCGAGCTCAGGGGAGGCCCCGGGGTGGTCAGGGCTGAGGAGCACCCCGGGGAGCAGGGCTTGCTCAGCCCGGTAAGGGCCCCAGGCAGCCGCCTGCGCCCACCCGTGGGGAGGCTGCTGAGGTTGGGCAGCCTGGCTCTTCACAGGGGTATGTGGTCGGGGGGCACGAGACAACGTGCGTAAGTGGAAATGAGAGGCTCAGAGTCGGCTATCAGGGAAAAATTTTTCTCCCTGGGGCAGGCTGCCAGGGCAGGCTCCGTCTTGGGAGGTGTCAAGCCCCAACTGGACACAGCTCTGAGCAGCCTGGTCTGGCCTGGGGCTGACCCTGTCCTGAGCAGGAGACCACACTAGAGGCCTTCCCACCCAGCCTGAGTTCTCCTGTGCTCCTGTGGTTTATGTCTTCATTTGCCTCAGGTCTGCCCACTTATTTTCTCTCGTACAAGTTACTTTTTTCTCTCACCGTTTCCATTTTCCATTAACCTTATCTAACCAGCACCCTGTATTACTCGAAATTTTATGTGAACCCCACCGGCAGCTGAAAGTTGTGTTGCAGTGAAAGAGCAGTGCAGGGAAGCGACAAGGGGCCAGATGGTACATAGAGCAAGATTTTCACCAAGGGAGGAATGGGGAGGCACCAGAGGCCAGCAGGGCTTTTGGGAGCAACCCCTATGGGATGTGAGTGCAGGTCCCTGACCAGACATGTCTAGGCTGTCAGGAGAGCTCCTGCTGTATATCTGGCGTAGTCAGGACCATTGATCACTGCAAGGAAATACTTGAGACTGAGGAAGATGAGGAAAAACAAAGCTTCTGACACTCTGGATGAAGTGAGATGTGGACTGAAGCTGTTGGTTTCAATGTAACAAGTTCTTATAGATGTATGATTTAAATAATAAAATTTTATTTAGTTATGTATTTATTTTCCTCTGGCAAAAAGCAGAGGGCAGGAAACTCATAAGCCAAGTATTTACTTAATTGTGTTTTCTCAAAGGGTAAAACTGAAAAATTAATTTAGAGTTGTTAATTTATTATTTTATCCTATTTTGAAGCTATATTTGTCTTTCTTTTTGCCTGTGTATCTTAATGATATTTGTCAAACATTTTAAGATTATAGATGAAATCCTGAAACCCTTGAAAAAATAATTTTGCTGTTGCCTTTTGTGGAGTCTTTTTCTACCCTGTAACGTTATGAGGGATCCTAGTTTGACTTTGATCAGTGCTCTGTTACAGAAATAGGCTAATAAGTATTCATATTGAAAGTTTAAATCCTTAGTAGAATGGCTTCATCAGAACAGTAATAAATGAGTCTTGCTGTCTTTGTTGTAGAAGATTTCTCTCCAGTTCCATCTAAGGCTTTACCACCTCCAAAACCAGAAAAAGCTTTTCCTCCTTATACTGGATTTGGTTCTGAAGAGGATTCTCTGTGCTCCTGTATGGGTCTGCTTCCCAAGCCTCCCCAAAAAGATTTCAAGAAATTCATGGAGAAAGACAGGTATTTCGGTGAAAAATAATTCCAACTTTGTTAATTACGTCTTTTTGTAAAGGAGATAAATGTTAAGTAGGGGGTGTCATTTTTTTAGCAAAATACACAACTCATCATACTTCTAAGGGACAGGTGCATGAGGACTAGTTTAGTGACATAGTACTCCAATTTTCTCAGCAAAATTTTTCTTTTAAGAAGGCAGATATTCTCACCCTCCCATCCCCTACCTTCTTTTCTTCTGCTGCCTTCAGTGGGAGTATGATGGAAGTCTTACTCCAGGAATTAGTCAGGAATTTTGTATGCTTCATCAGTCCAAAACTGTTTTGTTTTTGACTTCCTGGCATTTACTTTTTTTGTCTGCTGAAATTCATGCAGCTTCCTGTAGCAATATTAAAGCATTAACCCTTTACTTTCCATTATTAAATAGTTTGTCAGGCAGTGATTATTGAAGCCTAAGTGGAAAGAAAAGTCACATGCTAGAGATTCACCTGCAGAGCCTCTGTAAAAGAAAGAGGCTATTAGAAAAAGGCTTGGGAATGTATTGATAGTGCATTTAGCAGTACTGTAAATTGTTTAAAACAATCAGCAAATATCTAGCTAGCAAGATCATTTGGTGGGCCTGATTTTGTGGAGATAATCCTAGTACGTATTGCTATTCAGAATTTGATCTGAAAATATACATACCTATATGTGTTCTTCCTTTATAAATTTTCTGGAAAGAAACTTGGAGCTTGATTTGCAACTGAATTTGAATACAAATTCATTCCAGGCCTGTGGCAGAGAAGTAATTTTCCCCTGAAAATGATTCCTTTCTGTCTGGCTGACTCTAGCTGGTTCTGTTAATTTAAGCTGAAAATGGTTTTTGACAAATTAGGGAATCTTATGCCATTTCCCTTCTTGGTCTAGGAATAACACAGTGTATGTTACAAAACTCAGGAGAATGCATCTCTTAGGGATGAAAACGTTTCTCATACTCTGTTTTTGATTTCTGATCTCCTCTTTTGCATTTTAGAAGTGGCATGGAAAGTAATATACTGCGCTTTCTTGCAAAACTCGTCACAGATAGTGCTATTGACAAGGATCGGAAATTCATTATTTCCTACTTCCTGAGTGATGACACTATTTCAGTTTTTGAACATATACAGCAAAACACAGGTAAGATGTAGTAATGTCTTGCAGTCAGTCCCAGTTGCCTTGTTCATTTGATTCGAGTTTACAGTAAAGATTGTGGCCAGACTCGTCACTAGCAGAAACAGGGATGTGGAGTTCTAAATGCAATGGGAATTAAATCAGCAGGTCTACTGCGTTGTCTTGCATAGCTATATGTCATAGTAATTTATAATCTTCATCACTCAGAATAATGCTGTTCATTGTATGACAGTACTTCACAATATCCTTTGGGAACTGGAAGTTTAATGCATTAGAACTTTTATTACATTTTAATTTGCAAATTTGGCCTTTAAACATTTGCTTTTGTTGTGGGTAACATACAGGAATTGTGTTGTTACTGATGATAAATAGAGACAGGAAATGTAAGATATCCAGAATGAAAAAGTAAATCCTTTGTTTTGCAAGACTGTGTTATGAAACCTACATAGCATCCACTGTATAGAAGCAGCTAATGAGAGCAAAACAGCTGTGATATTGTTTAGCATATTTTATCATTAATCATGTAGTGCTGAGCATATAAAGAGTGAAGATTGCCTGGTGCTAGTGTCTGTACATGTGTGTGTATGTATAATACTGAACTGAATTTGAAGAGCCAGACTACCAATGTTTAAGTGACAACTGCTTTGTTACTTCTTAGTTGCTTGATCACATTTATCCTATTGCTGGAGGATAGTCTCCCAGTGTTGTCATGGTTAAATTCTTTTGACTACTGTTGTCTGTTGTAGGCTGCTTCCAACTGAGGATATGAAAGGTTTTATGCTTTTCAAGCATCTTTTTATTTCCTTGGAGTGTCTTGTGCACAGATGGAAGGACACAGCACTGGGAAGGGTGTGGGGAAGTCACTCTGTAACTCAGAGAGATGGGGAAGCCTTGGCTAAGCATGACCCTGTTGGTGAGATCAGTGGATTGCTATGAAGCCCACAAAGCATCTGCAGCAACAGTTTCAGAGCAGTTAACATCCAGAAGTGCTCTCACACCTCTCAACATGTGCAGTTGAAGGACTGACTCTCTTAAAAGCTGCTGTCAGCCTCTGATAAAACCACACAGAGAAAAAAAAATCAGGAAATCACATTCTCTCAAAGACAAGGGAATAAGAGTAATAGATGGTTTCCTTAGTTACGGTGTTAGGCTCTTGTGGAACCTCGTGACTAGATCTTTTGATACTGCTTGAATTGCCCTATATCAGCTTCTTGGCACAGAACACCTTAGTATGTTATTTCAAGGATACCCTGCAGAGGTGACCAGCTCACTGTGCTCAGTACTGACCTATTTGGTACACTGTCTAGAGCAAAGATTCTCCTGGGGAGGACTGTTCACTCCCCTTTCCCTCAGGCTCTGGTGCCAGCAGTTGACTTGCTGAGGTCCAGTTATTCGGTTTAGTGTTAAGGACTAAGTATTGTTGCGACCCTACTCTTAAGCCTTTGCTGAAAATGTTTTCTGATGTTAATCCTTTTCAGATCTATGATGAACATCACATCCATAAAAACTGGAGGTGTGGTGAATATCTAGACCCTTCTGTATTCCTAGAGAACTCTTTCTGTGCCTGCGGTGCTACCGAGTCATTTTGAGTGCCCTGCACACGAGTAGGTTTTTGGAAGGCCTGAGCCTTTGCAATGCAAAGAACTTCTAATGGCATCTCTGCTTGTCTCCAACTATATTATGAATGCATAAATAGGGACCTCACCCCCAACTAAAATACGAACAATTCTCTGAGAAATGTTTTGAAAATGTGTAGAGTTACCTGCCTAGGCTTCAATGAGCATTTCCAGTTAACCCTGCTCCACTGCAACGTCAAGATTTAGCATTGCTTGTGGCACCAGTGTCCTGTCATCATTATTTCACTAGTTTCCTGCCAGCCGGTGGCCTGTAACTTATGCAACTTCATTTATTACCGTTAAAGACACATCACTAATGTATATATTTATTATGTAATGCTGCTGTAAGGCTCAAGAGCAGTTCAGTTCTCCAGTGGTGAATGACGTGTTTGATTGGCATTCTTTATGTCCAGAGACATGAGGGATGCTAAGGGTAGTGCTACACTGTTGAATTAAAGAAGTCCAGGGAACAACTTGAATCTTGGCCCCCAATCATATGCCTGTTTAGTCACTCCTGGTTCTCCTTTGCACCCTTCCACCTAGACATGGCATCAGAGACCCTAGGGCCCCTCCTGGACAGTGCTTAACTCCAGAAAAATCCTGCAAGGCATTGAGGACAAGGCTGCAGCAGGTTTGGCTTGCTCCACCCTTGTCAGTCATCTAACACTATCCCAGGAGGTTTTGCACACTCAGAAATTCATGTTCTTCTGCCACAGCCAAGGGCTGCAATACATACCCTCAGTTTTATGCTGTAAAACACCACTGTTGGGCTGCAGCACAGCCCTTGCATACCTTCAGATGGTTTGAACACACAAAAATAGCAGCTGTGTCTTCAGACCCCAGATCCATCACGTATCACCCAGAGCAGAGCCAGAGCTACACTGCATTGCAGATGTGGTCAGTTGGTCAGGCTCTCAACAGCATGGGTGCCAGGCCAGAGACTGCTTCCTGGCTTCCTTTTTATGTTGGAATGAAAATACATGCTGGGGTTGCAGCTGGGACCCCACTCAGCATTGCTAGTCAAACAATGTGGAACAGTAGATGGGTGAGTTTGTATACCAATAGCAAATGCTTTAAGACTCCTATGAACAGCAAGTATCTGTAAATGTGTTTTTAACTTCCCTGGCATGTTAAAGTGGATGGAGTAGCTGACTTTCAGAGGTGGTAGAAAGGTGAAGTGGAAGGATTAGGCTACTGGCCGTTGGAGAGCTTCAGCGAGAACAGCCTTGAAAGGCAGAATAAGAAGTAAAGATGGGGGGAGGTAGTGCAGAAGTTGGAAAGAGGCCTGGGACTGCAGAAGTTTCTTTGTTCCCACCTTCCTCCTTTTCTGTCTTCTTCCTTTCTCTTTTCTCGCTCTACCCCTCCCTCATTTTAGTCATGTCTGAAGGAAAAACGAGTTGCTTCAAGGTTAAGAATGAGAAGGCTTTGGAGAGGTCAGATAAGAGCAGCTAGGAGAAAGGAGTAAGGCATGCAAAATGGGAGTGTGAAGAACATTCATGTGTGAGAAGGAAAAGTGTTGAAGTGGATGGGGTGGGGGAAGAGTAAGTTTGATCGCATCTTTGAGAGGGGATGAGTTAAAACAGTAAATGACTCCCAAAACAGCAACTCGACCATCCCTTTTGTGCACAGGTTCAAAGGTCTATTTTTGCCCTTTGCTTTGCATGAATTGATACTAATTGGCAAGTAAAAATGTTTCAAATCTCAGTCCCAAAATGGAAGGAATAAACTGCTCTTGCTTTTCTCAGTCCAGCAAGGTGCATGTCGCAGAGAAGTATTTCACACTATTAGCAACACTGTGAAACTGCATTTGAAGTGTGCAGGACTGGACATCTTGAAGCACTTGTTGAGATGGGGGTCAAAGCATGAGAACTTTGGCTCCCCATGCAGAAGATCACAACCCCTTTTTTACTCAGTGTAAAACCAAGCCAACAGCTGTACAAACACCTGCAAAGTCTGATCTGATCTTAATGGAAGACGGTCTTTGGTTGTGGTGTTTATTTTGTGCTTTGAGCCTGGCTCTTGTAGATTTCCATCAAAATTTCTCATCAGGTTTCAGTGTAAAATCTCTAACCTAATGAGATATTTTTGGTTGTTTTCCTTTATACCTCTTGAAATGTACTAACCCATAACATTTAAAAAAACAGTTATGGGTTAGAGGTATGAAGGTAAATTTCCAATCTAAGTGCACAATTGCAGGGAAATAGACAAGAGTGAAGTTCCAATCTTACAGAGACCATTTCTGTTTAAATATTACAAACAGTTGCCAACATTATATAACCTAAAATTTCATATTTATTTTAATAGCTAGGTGAAAAGGAATGTGTTAAGAATAAAGTTACATTAGTGATTTGGATTGTTTTTTGATTCAAGCTAGATCTGACCATTGTCATAGTGTATTTTTTGTCTTTTGCTTTTATGGTGCTAATAAAGCAATTAAGACAGACATCTGCTCCAAACTCTGGTTTAATAAGTAGTTTGGGCTTCACATTCATTTATAATTTTGACTATAAAGGTATTTTATTACACTGTTCATCAGCCTTTTATTGGGCTTGCATCACTACCTAATATGTAAGATGTCATTAAATGTTACTGAACTATGCGTTTTGGCTTTTGGCTTGGAAGCTCAAATATAAGCAGGAAACAAACCCCAGGCACTCTAGAGTTGTTGTAGGGCACATACCCTCATGAAACTAAACATGTGACAGAATCCTTTCTAGAAAGCTTGGTACGTGCAATGCAATCTTGTGGCACACCAGAAGATATTACTGAAAATATACTGAAATATTACTTGAGCACTGCATGCAGCTTCCAGTGGCACGAATAAAATCATTATAATGTGAAAAGAAAAAATGTGACATACCCAGCTCACAAAGGAAATAATAGATCGCAGTTAAGTTGCACTGGCAGAATAGTATGTGGAAGTTAGTGTCATGTCACTCCAACTTTTTTTTTTTTACATTCAAAAGCCCTTAAAAACAAGTTGGACTTACAGTGCACCAGAATTCATAATCTTCATAGGACTGTGCTATCCTAAATTGTGATTTTTTTTTTTTTTTTTTTGATTTATCAATTCAAGTATAATTGCCTGCATCTTACATTTTGCGCCTTGTGTCTCTCAGGAGTCAGTCCCAAGGCTGGCGACAGGGTTATGGGAACGATTTGAAGAGGCACATTTTTGTCCCATTTTAAAGAAAAGAAAAAAAGGGAAGGTGTTTGGCAGGCATTCAAATGGGACGTGTCACAGAATATGCACAATGTAACTGTTGCTGTGAACGCTGGCAGAGACAGTTCTTTTAGCAATGAGAGGGAGGGGGGGAGTGTATTTTAAGAAACTGAAGGATGAAAACTGATATTTAAATACAAAACAGTTGGTTTGGGGTGTCTTGAGTTTTCTTTTGTGTTTTTTGTGGGTTGTTCTTTTTTTTTTTTTTTTTTTTTTTCCTCAAGTAAAGCCACAATTAATTAATTATTTACAATTCTATTCCCATAGGGATACTTGGTGGAAAGTTCTTGGAAAGAGGTCGCATTAAGAAGCCTGGGCAGGAGCTTTTTAAGAGTGAGCCATCTGAATACTTCAAGGCTCAGAGTCTGTTTGTTGGAGCCAGAGTTTGTTTCCATGGTCACAACTTTCTTCTGGTGGATGCCGATGAGTACACGTTCAACTACATGGAGAAGCATGCAAATGAGGTGAAGCAGGGTCTTGTTATTTTCTTTTATCTGTAAGGACTGTACCTTATCTATATATTTTTCAGAATTATTTCTACCTAGTTTCTTCACCCAAAGTTCACATCCCACTGCTCTCTGTCTAGCAATGGATTTGGGAGATGCTAGCTAGGGAGTGCATACACGCCTGCCCACTCTTTACTGTCCATTCCCCTTCTACTTTCTCAGCATCCACTCTTATTGTAATAAGGGTTGTTAGAAGATATATCCCTGCCTATTACTCTTTATGGACCTCTTGTCCCTGCATTGATCTAACCCTTGTTGAACCTACAGATACTGTCTGCTTCTACAGCTTTCTGTGGCAGCAAGTTGGAAAGTTCACTGCATGCTATGTAAAAAAGTATATAATAAAAGAAACTTACTTATTTTATATAATAAATAAGTTTACTTTATCATATACTTTTTTATATAAAATAAATAAGTTTCTTTTATCTGTTTTAAACCAACCTCCCACTAGTTTCAATGTCAGTTCTAGTGTTCTGGGGTTTGGTGAAGATATTCATTCACCTTACATGCAACCTTCATAATTTTGTAAATCTCAGATATTCTTCCCCCTCAGCCTAATCCTATCCAGCTAAGAGTCTCACCCTTTTTAGTCTGTCCTTGCAAGGCAGCTATGAGATGTGGAGACTGGAACAGTGCACATTACTCAAGATGTGGGCACATCCAATTTAGAGTCCTAGCAATGAGGCTATTTTATTCCCTGATTTGATTGTTTGGGTTCATACATATTTATCTGCCGAAAGTTTTCCCTTGTAATATTAGAAATTCATGTCACAGTCAGGAATTCAAGCTTACAGTTTGTACTGAGTTTCATTATCATTTGGTGTTGCCTTCAAAGGGGAGAGCAACAATAAATAGAGAGCTGGGGCACCTCTGCTGATGTATACTTGATGCTCCCAGTCATTACACAAATGGCTGGTAAAGAAGCCCTCAGTCACCGAAGCCAGGAATGTATTCAATAGGAGGAAATTGCTTGTCCTATGGCAGTTGTCACAGAGGTCAAAAAAGAAAAGGGTACGGGGATGGAAAACCACAGAGGAGCCACAGAGCATTTTGTGGGATTTTACGTTGGTTTGGTAAGAAATGTGGATTACTATTTCTTTTTATGATGAAGTTTGTGCTGCAATATTTGAATAAATGTACCTTGATATGCTTGGAAATTCCTGTTACCTGCAGCTCTGACCCAGTTGCTCTGAGAGCCAGCACAGGAGCCAGGGCATGTCTGCATCCCAGTCTCTCTTCTGTATTTCTGCTTTGTCACAGTGTGGTCTTGAACATCAGTCTTTGGACTAGACTGTGCTGTGAGGACTTTGGTGGAGTGTGTATGCTTCATAGCTCGTGGTGGGGTGGCAGCATGAATTGTGCCTTCAGCAGATCTTCTCCAGAGCAGCCCTTTTGCTTAGGCTTGCTGAGAGCATGCCCAGGGAAAATATCCAGGAGGGCGTATCAAGCCTGTGGTCCTCTGCCCATTTGTCCAGACTTTTTGTGACTGGAGAAGGGAGAAGGTTCTGAGCGCAAGTTTTAATTGTTCCCTGTCTGCTGGCTCACCAAAGTGCGTGAAGCTGCAGGACTCCCAAGGCACCAGTAGGCCTAGTGCAGCCTTGGGGGCCGCGAGTCTCGATGCCGTTGTGCTGCTGAGACAGAGGTAGGTGCAGCCTGACCTGTGCTGCCTTTGGGCCACACGTGCTGTTCTCACTCAAATCAAAATAGCAGAATGGTGTGATTTCTTTGTAAATTAATTTGGAGTTAGCACCACCTGCCTTCCCTGGAATGATGAGGAATGTCTGCAAAATGCTTGTTGATGTAAAATGCTGCGACTGCTAAATGCTTTAAGCAGTAAAATACAAAGCTATATACGTTATGTTTTCTTACTGCTGGACTGTTTCTCCTCCTAGTAGAATCAAAATGAAAGCTATTCTCAAAAATGCAGAGTGCATCATTAGATGGTAAATGTTCTATGGAACTGCTGTTTGCATTGATTATCTTGGGTCAAACAGGTGAGATCTTAGTTTTCCAGACTGAATGATTGTATATTATCAAAATAAAATCTGCAAAATGGGAAGAAGCAACACTAAAAACACTTCTTTAAAGTGAATTTTGAAATGATCTTTTCACAGTTAAGTTTTTAAAACAGCTGGCAGAAAAAAGGTTTATTTTCCCAGTGATAGTTGCTTTACTCACATCCTTCGAATAGAGCTCCAGTAGTAAGGACACACCTTGTTTGTCGCAGTTCATCAGGAAATTGCATACTCAAATCCCAAGAACTTCAATTATGAGAGAAGAGCAGAACTGGAAGATGGTCTGAAGAAGGGAAAATGATTTTTAGATGACTATTTGTCAGCTATTGCTAAAATGAGAAAGTAAATAATTTTCCTTCTGAATAGACAGAAGTTTCCTTTCAGCAGAGCGTATCAGTACGTTTTCTGAAAACTGATGAAAGGAATCCAGATGGAATGTTTTTCTTCTGGAAAACACCATTTTGAGCACATTTTTATAGGCATATGTTGATTTAGGTGAAATTTTGATAGGTAATCATAGTGCAGGTGGGAATTGATTTTGCTATCATTGAAACATTTATTTGTCACCATATGAGATATTTGGAAAGTTTAAATTTTTAGTTACAGAATTGTGTTTATTATATTGTTTTTAAATTATGGGGAGAGAAAAATAATTGAGTCTTGTGATTTCGATTGCCACCTGTACTGAAAATAACTTTAAGGATCTAATTCTTAAAACTTTTCAACACTTTTAGTTTCTTTTCCAATTTGAGGAAAAAAAAGTGTATTTAGAAAGTGTAAATTTGCTTGCAAAACAGAACATGTATGTTGTACACAGTCCTACCAGTATTACCCACGTTTGAGGAGGACTCTCTCAGACAAGGCATCACTGTGCCTCCTTGGAAATGAATTCATCATCTCTGAATTGTTAGAATTGTTCAAACTTTGTAGTCTTCTGCAGCATAAATATGGAGGTTGATTTTACTTCCACTGACTTTAGCAGAATAACCTCTGACTTAAGCATGATAATCAAATAAAACTAGATTGTGGCTACTAGCATGTCAGCAATTACATGAGAAGGGGGGAACGCAGGTAAAGAGTTATTGCCATGCTGCTCGGATACTTGATGTCTATGTAGGTGTTTGGAATATGTAGTTTAGAAAAAAGATTTAAAAATAACTTCTTTGATAATGTAGAGAAGACAGGTTTTTAAATAGACAGAACACTTTGTCCATCTTTAAATACTCTGCTCATTGATTCCTTCTGCCCAGTCTTTTCTCAATCTCTGTTTCTTGCTTTTTCAAGGGAAAAGCTGTGTGCTTATGGCCCAAACAAGGGCAGCTTAGGGAGGGGACTGAAAAAGTTGCTGTCTGTAAAACTTTTTGACTGCTGGTCCAGCTGCTCCACACCACTACCTCGTGTGGCACTGCATGCCAGGATTGTACCTGGAGTTTTGGCATTGACAGCAGTTGTCTTCTCTAAATCTGAGCATGTTACCTGCAACCACTGATGCATTAATTAAAGTTGGATCAATCTGTACTGCTCTGGCAGTGTCATGGGGACTTTAAATGGCCTTTTCTAGGTCCCTTTGGGCTATAGACAGACTTCAGTGTAATTGGGAGTGAAGCCCAGTCTCTGTTGTGATTAGGTCCTTAATACCAGTCATACTGAATTTCAAATAATTGCTAGTTAAAGCAACATTGCTTACTGGAAGAAATGGGAGAAAACTGTTTTCAGACAGTTCACTGTGCTTTATAAGTTAGGTAGAGCATGACAGATGTAAGGACATATGAGATCTTCATCCTTGAACTCAACCTCAATTTAATGACTAAATACCTAGGTGTTTTATGTTAAAAATTAGTATAGCAAAGAAATCTTTGGTAGAGCTCTAACACAACAATATAGGAATATAGGATGGAAGCCTTAATGCTCTAGTTCTGTTGTCCTGGTTGGCTCTGGCCTAGAGTTCCCGTTGGTCTGGCAGCGGGAGGAGCTGCAGCCCCCTGAGACCCCAGGGGCTCCCCAGGTCCCAGTGCCCTCACCTGTGTGCGGGGGCGGGGGGAGCACAGCTGGAGGGCTGGGCCCCGATTGGCCAATAGTCCATGTCATGTGACATTGCGCTCACTATATAAAGGCAGGAGTGGGCCAGGAGGGGCTCTCACTTCCCAGGTTGTGGCTGTGGGGCCTTTGTGTTGGGGATTGCCGGCTGGGAGCAGGTGGGTGTTGGTCGTCGGGTGGTGAGCAGCTGTATTGTACATTACCTGCTGATACTGCTGTCAGCGTGTTGTTCTGTCACTGTTATTAAACTGTTTTTATCTCCACCCGCGAGTCTCCCTTTGCCCCTCCGATTCCCTCCCCATTCCCAAGTGGGAGGAGGGTGGGTGAGCGAGTGACTGTGTGGCGTTTAGCTGCTGAGTAGGCTCAAACCACAACATCTGTTTATCTAAGTTTTTTTGTTTTTTTATGGCCTATTTAAAAATAAATAAGTATTCTTACATGACAGGAAGAATTGGTTCCTAAAAAATATCCAGTCTGCTAATTCTGAGTATGTAAGTCAATACAGCTTAATGTGAATGAGAATATCTGTTGGAACAGTTCCTTGGAGCCAGTGGTGAAAAAATTAATTTTAACTTGGTGAAATTTGTTAATTAAGAATTTAGATGCTCCAGCATAAAATGAGGACCGAGTTATTAGAACTGTACTTTAAATATTTCTAGTTCTTTAATAATACAGTGTCTGAAGCAAAAGGGGATGTCCGTTTATGTAGTTAGAATAAGCTTTCTGAGAATGCATGATCTGATTATTTTTGTTTAATTTCTTATATTCTCGGAAGGAAGTAATTTTTTTTCAGTAGCAAGCTTCCCTCCAAACTTGACAGTGTTGATTTATGCATTGAAGTGAGACAGTGGAGAAGCTAATAATACTTAGCAGTTCAGCTTTGCCCTGCATCTTGACAGCTCTTGTTGGTTGCAGTATAGTGGTTGCAATAGCTGGTTGCATGATGCTTTTCTCTCTAATCTGTGTTTTGCTTTCCTTTGTTAAGTTCTCTGTGGCTGATATCAGTTTTATCCTCAAGAAACTGAAAGACATAACTGAACTTCGTTCCAGAGAAATCAGACAGATGTTTGCAGCCACTGACCCTGAGCATACCAAGGTGATTGAGTATGACCCTTTCAGGTAAGACAGTGGATTTTGTTTTTTAATATTTAATGAAGACACATTCCCCAAAATGTATAGAGCATGACTGTTTCTTGATGCTTTCTGCACGCGTTAGCTGACAAATGGCATACATTTGTTTTGCATTTACTTGGAGACTGTGTGTGAAAAAGAAAGTGAATCCATGCCCCAGAAAAAAAAAAAAGAAATGTGATAGTTTCAAGTAAGCTGAAAAGCACAACTAAAATATCTCTACTTTTTAAGGAGGTGGCACAGAGTGTTGTGAAGAAGGGCAAATCAGCAGTGACATATACAATGAAAGATGAAGAAAAGTCCTTCTTGAGAGTCAAACAAATTAATTAGTAGTTTTGAAATTCAGGAAGGAATGTTTGAGTTGCCTCTAAAAAATGGCGTTATTTGGGTTTTGAATCATTGATAAAGGAGAGTGTCTTCACGGAACCAAGGTGTATTGAAATTATAGAATGCAGTAGTAAGCATCTTTAAAAAACTGGAAGGCAGTAGTGAGAGCAATAATTAATGCTTGGATAGTAATTTCAGCATAGATAGGGAGAACAGAAGTCTGGATTCTGGCAATGGTCCAGATATGGCAAAGGGGAAAAGTATAGATACTTGAAAGAGGAAATCATGTTCAAATGCAAGCTGAGTTTAGTTTATCCCACAGCCAGAATACTTGAGCATATGAACTGTGTTGGGCACTGGTAAAGTTAATGATGTGGAACAGAGGCGGAAATTTTACCTAGAAGCATTTGGTTTTCACAGTGGTAATACACTACATATTTAGGAACTGTCATAATAACTAAAGCATATAAATAGATGTATATTGCGTGGAATGTCATCCCTGTAGGAATGTTACCCAAGGCAGAAATTTCTGAAATATCTCAGAAGAGATATACGTCCCCGGAAGATTCTGCCAGCAATTCAAAGTGAAAGTAGTGAAAAATTAAAACACTGGTGTTGAGAAATGAAAAATAAGTGATTAAAAGGTAGGACTTAAACTAAGAGAGGCCACAGTTATTGGCAGCTTTTGGTCAAAATATTTATAGACTCGGATATTTTACTCAACAGAAGCAAGATTTTGAATTGATAATTGCTTTAAGAAGGAAAATGCTATTACTAGAGTAAGAAGGGGAGAAAATTGACAGTTAATGTATGTGAAGAAACTTTACAGCACTTGGAAAGGGGTTTTATTTTATGTGAACAGTAACTGTTGCAAATAGTTATGGTTTTAATTCAAATTATGAAGTAATCATCTGCATGTTATCTTCTTACATGCACCAAGAGCAAGTCAAAGTTTTGGAACATCTGAATGATGAAATTGGTGGAGCACACTTTCAGAAGGGATGATTGTGCTTTTAAACAGCAGGGGGGAGATTTTATTTTATCAAGAAGAGTCTCAGTTGAGTGTAAATTTAATTACAGTTGTATTCTCTGCTGCTGTGAGCAGCCCAGCTGTTTAATTTGGGGTAGTGGAGTTCTGTGGCATGGAGTAAGATATGCCTAGTTACATGGTATTGAGGCACTTGATTTCAGCAATAGAAATGGAGTAGCCCTCTTCATGAGCAAGAGATGAAGCAGGGGAATTCCCGAAATAAATGTTTTCTTGGCCTCAATGCTCACCTGGGCCAGTCTAAGCACCTACTAATGGTTTACATCCCTCCTGGGGTAGGACCGCAGGGGATCTAACAGGAAGCATTCACCCTGCCAGAGGAAGAATTTGCCTCGAAGGAGAATTTCATTTCTGTGCTCTATAGTGATAGTAGCTTTTGTTTCTGTTCTTTCATATTATATCCAATAATTTAAAGGCTTTCTTCTTGTTATTATTCATTTTAGAATTAAATGTTTTAAAGACAAAGATAAGAGCACTTCTTTGCATCAGTGAAAAGTCAAAGATATTTTTCTGTGAATAGAATATGTATTTTTCTTTCAGTTTTGTATTTTCTTGTGTACATCACTGTTTATTTTTAGTCTGTCCTGGCATTTCATGATTATAACTAGCTACAAATGATTTTTTTAGTACAGGCAATTATCTGTGTGACAGCTTCAACCAGCATGATAATCCTCTTTTCTTATCTTAAATACAGCTAAAGCTTGACTGTGTTCTGGATTTGGCTGTTCAGATTTCTTGCTTTCTATGCATGTGAATTTATATGAACTGCATTTTTAAATACACCTATAAGTATGATGTAGTGAAGCAGAATTGTAATTATACAATTTACTTTAACTACTTTCAGAACCCAAATCTATGGAACATTATCCAGGAAAAAAATACATGGCATATACTGAAGCTCTCCCCTAAGCTATTGTTAAAACCATTGAAAGCTTTGTTAAAAAAAGAAGAAAAAAATAACTAAAATTTGGACGCCTGTGCATCACATGATCTTATCCAGACTGCTTTTTCTCATAAGCTACTGGCAAGACTGTTCTCTGTTAGAGACAAAGAGCCATGTGGGTTTAACAAAGATGCCTATCTTCAATTCAGCTTGAGAAACAGCTCTCTTAAACAGTTAATTATTATTTCTTCTTTCTCTACCAAATTCAGATTGCAATCTGTCTTATTCTTATAAAACAACAAAAAAAAGTAAGATGAAAGATAACTAAGCAGTGGGAACAATTTTTGTAGCTTGTTTCCTTTTGTCAGGAGGAGTTGAGATGTAATTCTGTTTGTGAATCTTGGGTCTCACTCATTAGTCCCTATCAATCGCTGAAATATTTCTTAATTCCCAAATGAGACAATTATTTTATCTGGGAGTTTTGGTGACTTGATTGTCACTGACTGGCTTGAGAAAATGAAAGACCTTTAAAATCCTGACACTGGAAAAATCTGTGCCATGTATGGAAATCCAGCCCGTGGAAATATTCAGATGAGTGATGTTATCTACATGCTTTCAGCTTCACCAGCCCAAGAATTTAGAGTGCCAGGCTTATCAGTCAGTATTGTCCTCTTCTTTGTGTTTGCAGTGGTATTACTGCTGGCTCCAGGAAAGAGGTTCCAGTTTTGACTGGATCTCTGAATGCTGCCACAATATGAATAATAATATTCAGTAAGTGGAATAATAATACTGACAAGATAATGACAATACTAAAAGGTGGACCAAGTTTTGGTCATTGAGTTTGCATAATCTCAGATAAGGTTTGCTGCTGTCAACAACTTGTCTTCTCCTTATATTTATCTCCTGCCACTGCAAATAAATGATCTTTCTGATTTATTTAATATGAAAAAAAACAGCAGTTGAATCAAAATAGACACTATACAGTGTTTAGCATCCTTTTTTTAATAGCTGTGTAAGTACAGTTATATTCTATGAACAGATATCTTCATTTGAACAGGACCATGCAAGCCTTTGAGAGGAAGCATGTGAAAAATTATGTTTGTTGATAAAATTATGCAGTGTGGAAGGGTACTAAGTTTCTGTGCTTTCAGTTCACATGTGAACTTTGAGACCCATTATCAGATTGATTCAAGAATTTAACTGTTCCCTAGCCAGCAGCTTGAGCCTTGTGTCAGAACTTTGTGCATTACTGATATTTTCTTCCATTTGTTTGCAAAGATCAGTATATAATCACAGTGATGCAGTGCCCTCAAGGGTACCACAAGGTACAGCTCTAATTGCATCAGCAATTATGGTGAAGTTTATTCCTAGTGCAGTTTATCCAGAAGTATTATATATAATTAATCTAATTGTGACTGAAGCACATAGGCCTATGTTGATGCTTGCTGTCAAAAAAAATCCTGTTGAGCAGGAGTTCACCAGAGGCAGACCTTTGGGATCATAATGCCAATGTAATTACACTGAGCTGGGTTTGACAAGAGGCCTTGTAACAGCTGAGGTAACCTACAGTTCAGGCTTGTTCCAGGAGAGCAGGAAGCCTCCTAGGTTTCCTGGTGTACCTTGCTGCTGGTGTTTTCCATCCCTTATATTGTGTCAACATCCAGGACATATGAAGAACTCTGTAATACCTGAAGGCAACTAAGCCCCTCCTGCAGAGACAGTGTGTTCTTTAAAATTAGTCCTTCTCCTCCTCTCCACCAACATAAAGCAGAGGGAGATTGTTCTAAACTGTAACTACTAATCCTGGTTCTTAAACTCCAAAGTTTGTGTCCATTTGCTGATACACTACAAGTTCCTTCAGGAGCTTACCCAGAAATTGCTCCAGCTCTGCTATGGGCAAGAAATTCTTGATATTAACAGGAATGACTAGTCATTCAGTGCCAGCACTGGCCGATCAGATGGGTCTCAGGAACTTCTTCCTTGGATTGATGTGATTTTTCTGAGCAGCAGAAGCAGTCTTGGGAGAGTACATCTCAGGCTCTTCCCTGCATGGGATCCGATTCTCCTCTGACAGTGTCCAAACATAAACTGGTCTTGCTACTGCCTCCTGTCTTCTATTCTTGCCAGGAGGACTTGTGATTACAAGTTGGGTGTAATTTTCTGTCCTCTTTCTGTGACCAATTTCTGTTTCCCTTCACCCAGCTTTCCCCTGAAGGCTACTCATCAGGGCCAGCTTTCACAATGCTTTGTGAAATGTGGCTTGACACTTGATTAATATTCTGTTCTCTGTTGGGATCTTCTGCCCCACTTCTCCTCTGTTGTTAATTCTCTCTCTATTTTATGCAACTATTGTGCATGCTTTCTGTTTACAGATAATTAATCATGTGATGCAGAATGCAAAATGTAATTAGGAACAAAACAGGGTAATACCTTATTAATTCACTGTCTTGTTGGATAGACACAATGACAAAATTAATCTCTGCTAATATTCCATGCCAGTATGGCATCTCTGGTAAAGGCTTCAGGCATGATTATTATGTATTTTTGTATGTATAGCCAACTACTGAGGAAATGTGGACATCCTGCAAAAGTTTAAGAGTTCAGGTAATTTCAATTATACCTCCTTGAACAGATCTGGATTTCAAATTTAAGTAGATACATTCTTTAAAGATCTAAATGCAGCATTTTATAATGGCTGGAATTTATTCCTTTTTTTCCCCCTGAAATTTAGTGGTTATTAACTGTTTTTAACTCCTTTACTTAAAACTAATGTAGTCTGTCTTTTTGTGAACAGAGATTTGATAGTCAGTATCACTGATGGAGAGTTTTCAGAACATGAAATTATGACTCTTGGGCGCCATTATGGTGTGAGAGATCAATATGAAATGGATCTCCACTTCCTCCTTGCAGTGGCTCAAGAACAACTAAAGAAAAATAGCTTTGAGAATTTTGAACAGCTGTCTGCGGTGCTTATATACAATGACCGTGAAAAGTAAGTTTGCTGTATTTGTCCTAAGCTGTTATTTGGGAAGTTCTGCTTCTAAACCTACCTACCTTTCTCTTTGTTGCTGTGCAAATGGTATATTGTGCCCAAAGAATATTATTGGTAATATTAAGCCTCTCTCAGAGCTTCATAATAGACAAGAAAGGGTTAGCCGTTTTGTATCTTTTTTTTATTTTGTTTGTGGACTTTTTATTATAGTTGCTGTACTGAACATTCTCTGACATAATCAGATGCATGTTCACAGGCAAAACACACAGTATTTTAAATCAAAGAAGGAAAATAGTGATTTAAAGGAAAAAAGAAAGGATTTGTAGCTCATTCTTTATATGTCTCATTTGACCTTTTTGTTCTCTGATGTCACAGATAAAGAATCACAGAGAATCACTAAGGTCCTCGGTGTGGGGGAGCCAGGCCCCCATGTGCACTTCAAGTGTCTTGGCTTCTTAATAGCAAAATTTCATAAAACTTTATTTTCTTTACCTCCACCCTGATATTCCTCACATGTTTTCCTATTCACAGCAACATTCACTTTGAAGTAAATCTGGAAAATAACTAATGTACACTTCTCCCCCTCTCTCTCTGTTTGTGTAGATGTGGAGTGCTGCCCCATGAGACATGCAGGACTATTTGCAAGTCCTTTAAGTTGCCACTGGCTGATGATGATCTGCAAGCTTTATTGACCATGTAAGTTAGGGGGAATTAGTATGACCTGCATGCATGGGTGAAAATCAATGCTAAATATCTACTGCAGTTCTTACTGCAGTTCTTCTTACAGTTCTTAAGAATTTGTCATTTATATAATAATAATTTAATGATGCTGATTTTTCTCCCCACACACATGTAGACTTTCATATTTATAGCATATTTATCATCAACTGAGGTGCATCCATCTCAGCAACTTCTCTTAATTTTGTCTGGCCGAGTAGATCATCTGGGTTTTGCCAGAATTCTATGGAATTAGTTTTATGGAAATCAGCAACTGTTACTTACAATTATTAATGAGATTCACTGTTTTTTACATCAGTTGTTTCTGTGTATGTGTAAGGTAAAAGCAATAATCTTATGTAAGCACATTATGTGAGTTTTAAGAAACATACCAAGATGAATACAATCAAATGTCCATGAATCAAGTAGACAACATCAGTAGTAGATAAGAGTTGTCTGTTACTCCTATTAATCTCACCTCAAACATATTCTATGTAATTTTTAAAAAGAAAAAGGAGTGTTGACATGGTTTTGGTATTTTTCCATATCACATTTAATTGTTATGGGGCAGATTGCTTTGCTAGCTGTATTAATGGGAATGGAAGTGAAAAGAACTTGTGTTCAGTGCACTTGTATTAAAGGCTAGAGTTCAGAGTAACCTGTGGTGTTTTGAACACTCATGTCATGTTGACTTTGGTTTTCATGGCCAGATTTTCTGGTCATAGATTTAAATGCATGCTCATTTGTCTCTTCTTTCCCTTGTGGAACATCCTTAAATGTTTTGTCTGTGCTGTCATACTGCAGGAGCAGGTCTTGTCTTCTGTCATTTTTAGATGCTTTCAGGTAGGTCTGCTTCTCGGTTTCATGAGGGATTGCAAACTAAGCATCTGAATTTATCAAATAGCGAAAAGACTCTGGTCAGGCAGAAATGTGGAATCCATTTTAACAAAATATCTTCATACTGCAAACAAGACTTCCTACTTAAATCAGTATCAACAAGACTGCTTTAAGAAGCCTAAAGGGCTATTTTTCACAAAGCCCGTTTCCACACCAAAAACTTCCAGAATAGTTCCCTGCAGTAGCCAAGAAGATGACTTTGGCAATTTGTTTGCTATTCATCACTTCTGACAGTTAGGTTGCAAGCATTAGTCATCAGAAGCATGTCTGAATTTTAGCATTAATCTAAAACTCATTTTTAAGAACTCCCACTAAGCTGCCCAGCACAAAAAGTGTTGGAGGACAATTGACATCCTGTACTAGACAAGGGGTACTCATAGTTTCCACTTCATAAAGGCTGAAATTGAATAGATGCAAAGACAAGGGACTGGAGGTTTTCCTTTATGTACTAATTCAATGCTGATGAAAAACAGACAAGCCTGACACATCATAGACTCCAGAGACGTGTTTATTGTTTGTGAATTTATACCAGAGAAATCTTTTGTGAGATGAACCTCTTCTCTCCTGAAGAGTCTCAGTGTAGGTGGTTAAAAAGAAAAAGCCCAGTACATTATGATAAAAATTAGAGATAAGTTTAGAAGACAAGGAGGAGACTAAGGGCTGGATTTCACTCAGCTTTAGCCAGGTACCCATGACAGCTGAATTAGCATTCAGCTGCTGTAGGTTCTTTCTGTAGGCGATGGAGGAGGAGAGAGTTATCTTCTCAGCCTGTAAAAGAGCTGGATTTCTAAATTACCATCCATTTTCCTTTGTTTCTAAGGGGGGCTGTGGCCAGCCTGTATTGCAGATTTCTGTATGAGAAGGGTGTGAAGCTGGGCCTCAGAAATCAGTGTGAGAAGTACTTCATATGATAAAGTGCTATGTGTAGTGCCAGTTCTAAACTACAATATCAGCTGCTTTGAAAGATGGCAGTTTATGTGGTGAGTCACTGAACTGCAGTGTGCAGTTGGCACTGCTTGGTAAGTTTATTGTTTCTTGAGGGTGCAGAGTCAGGGAAAGATTTTTTTTTTTTTTTTTTTTAAGTCTATTTAATAGGAGTTAATTTCCAGTAATCTGGAAATCAAAGAATAGAATTATCTGAATGAGATTTAGACTTTTCCTTTCCTCTTGCTTCCAGTAGTTTTCTTTGAGACTGAAGAATCATGAAACAGAAGAACAGTCTCACTCCAGGGGAGTATGCAATTCAGTGTGGGCAAAGTTTGTCAACAATAATCCTTCTGTTTTTGTTTGTTTGTTTGTTTGTTTGTTTGTTTTTTTTGTTGTTGTTTTGTTTTGTTTTGTTTTTTTTTAATGAGGAAGCATGTAGTTTTGTGTCCATTGATGTTTCTGAAGCAAGTGGTGGTGGTGTTCCTACTGTGTGTATCTGTATTTGTGAAGGAAGAAAGTGGTACAATAAAAATTGTTGGATTGATTCCCACAAAATCAGTATATATAGTTAATGCACTAGCTGGACCCTATTCAGCTATAAAATGACGCTAGGCAGTGTGATCAGATAATAGTTGAAGACTGAAGCTATATGTTTATTCAGCTTTGCTATATGAGATTAGGTGGCAAAGACTTTCTGTAGGACTTAATGGTTCTATTTTTCCCTTTTGAAAGGTAATACTCTTAAAATATTTATTATTTACATTTGTAAATTATACTGCAATGATCTGTCATTTTTTAAAAGCATGAGATGGGACTAGAAGTTATTGTCTGATTTTTGTGGTCACCTCCAGATGACCCAAGACTTTGTTTACTGTACCAAAGACCATTCAGTTTCCACAGAGTGCAGGGAGAATTAGCACAAAGGCTGAGGTTTGATAAGACTCTTTCATATTGTCTGTCTAGGGTAAATTTATATTTTTAATTGTAGGATGGTGAAATAGTAGGATTTAGGTACCCAACAATGTGTCCATTTTTCTAACTTACCTGGGCTGGTTTATTAAAAAGTATTTCCTTTCTCCATCAGTATTTTCTCAGGGCAATACAGACTTCTAATCACAATCTGTTAAGCAATGCAGATGGTACACAATTGTTTCTTCCAGAAAATTACAGTAGTAATTATAAACATTTCTTTAAATTTATGCAAGCATAGTGAACAATTATAGTTTGTTTAATAAATAAATGTTGCTAAAGTGCTTAAGTAATGAATTCATTTTTTTTTTTCTGTTGTATTTATTTACTACAATGCTAAATGTATGCTAACAAGGACTTAAAATGATGTAGTCCTTTCTCAGAGGATATATAAGCAGCTGGCAGATAAGGAAAGAAAAAAAAGGAGGGAAGAAAGAGTGGATGACAAGTTTACAAGTATTACACATTGCTTGTTTCACATTAGTTTAGTTGTTAAGCTTATGTCCCTGTTTTTAAAAATATGTCTTTTAATTTGTCTTAAAAGCAGCTGTATAGCTCTTCACCTCTCTGAAGTACCAGGGTGAGACTGTTGGACTCTGGGCGGGGGGAGCTTGTTTTTTTGAGAAAGTTAATTGCTGTTGTCTCAGGTATCAGTGCCTGATAACAATAGGCCTCCTACATGGTCATCCCAGTTCTCAAGTCACTAATAGGCCAGGCCAGGCCACTCCTGCCTGCTCAGCTTTTCACTGGTTTGTGGCTGGGTCATAATATTTTACCTAGTTGCCTACCTATAATGTTTTTTTAGGGCTATCGTATTTCGGGAAGTAACCCCTCTTCCTGCTACTGGAAAGCAAGGATCCCTGGTAGCAGTAGCAAGACTGGAAATGGTCACAAAATCATTCTCCTGCACTCTGTCATCTGCTCATTACCTTTGATGCCTGAGACTCCCTATGCCATCTGCGATGAAAAGACTCTCTAGCATTAATTTGTGGATCTCTTAAAAGAAATTATTTCTGTTATTCAGTAGTCTGTTGAAGAACTGATGATTCAATTTATAGTTGTTCAAGACATGAATAGAAGTATACACAAGATGATAGCCATTACTTAATGCATACTGATCAGTTGCATAGACTTACCTGTGCTTGCTGTTTTAAATCTGTTCATATAAGCGGTTTATGACAATTTAAGTGTACATCTGTGTTACAGAGAGACTTTCAAACAGGCTGAAGAATCTCAACATTTTCTCTAAGGTTAAAGCAACATGATGCGTCTCCTCTATTATTATCAGATTAACTTCTTAATAAATGTTACTCAAAACTAAGGAATTAAAAAAACTCTGCATGTACCTTAACTTTTCACATAAATGTTTGGGTTACAGCTTTCTTGATGGGAAAGAAAGAATATTTTGAGTAGCCTTTATTCATCCTTGGGAATGGTCATAATGTGATTTAACCAGATTTTTTGCATATCTGGAGTTTTTCATTATGAATATATTTTTAGAAGCAGAAATGTGCTATTATTTTTAGAAACAGAAATGTGCTATTATTTCTGTAATGTTAAAGAAAAAAAAGCTCTGCAAACTGTGATAAGGATGGGGGAGTGGCTTCCATAGTCTAAAATCACAAGCATTGGTGAAGTCATAGGGCAAAACTGAAGAGAAGCATGGTTTGAAGAGATCTTTGTTGCATCTTGATAAGACAAATCTAATTTCCTTTCCTGAAGAGCACTGCCAGTTTCAGTCATATTAACTCCAGCCACTGAAATGTATGACATCTCTGTCCTAATAATGCACAAATTGATAACATCTCCTCAGTCCATCTGGATACTCTCTGCCAAATTGCAAGTGTATGCTTTTAGTAGATTGATACAATAAGTCATAGCAGGAAAGAGATCTAAAGAGTAGATTTATTATTTTTTTCTTTCTGGATTATTCCAGAGTAATATTTTAAGCTGCTTTCTGTAACTATTTAAATAGGGAATTTAGGATTTCCTCTGTCCATGTTAAAATCTTTGGTTATAGTTAACTTCATGCCCATGTTGTCATCTCAGTTTGCTAATGCTGTCACATCAAAGGACTTTTCTTCATGTTAATGTTTGTTGAAAGCAGAAGCAATGCTTTCCTTGAAATCATTGCCTCAACATAAAGTTTAAGTAGTTACATGCCTTCACTTGTTCTTTATTTAAAAGTCCTGCTTGTACAGTTCTGCATCTTGGCAGTAGACCTAATCTTTTGACTTCACAACAAGCGAAAGACAAATGCATATATAGTAAAAGAAAAAAAAAAAATTATTGTCATGGTAGTTCTGGAATTCAGAATCTGTGCGCCATATTTTTTTTCCAAGAGGTATAAGCTTTTCTATTGTCTTCCTACTTCTAATGCAAAGCTCCTTTCTTTTCCCAATTGCCACCTGCAAAAAACCTGAAACAGACAAGAACCCCCTAGAAGTGGGAATGATAATTTTCTTGGCTATTGGATATATCCCCCAAAAGTAAGGCTTTATGAAAATCTTAACTTGTGTCTCAGCTATTATAAAGAAGCAGTCTATCATTGGAGGGTTTCTCATGGCAATGTTTTAGGCTCCTCTTTAATACTAATAACAGTAGCATTCTTTTCTGACTTTGCTTTCATCTTCAACATAACTCAATGTACTTAACATTACAGTTTATCGCTAGCATCTCTGTTTATAGATCTCAGTATATTTTTTTATCTCTCCTGCTGACTATTAAATGAAAGGTGTGGGGGGAGGAGGAGAAAAGGATGAGTTGCAGTTTATTGCAGTTTATTTTTGTCACTAGATTTATTTCTTCTCTTCTCTGATACTTTTTTCCCAGTTTGTACTGTAAATTTTCCCTTAAAGTACCTTCATGCTTCATTTTTACCAGAACCCCCTGCAATGGTTTAAAAGTTTTGAGGCTTATGTTTTGTGCAGTGCTATTTCTTTAAGGACAAGATAAAATGGTTTTCTGAAAGACTTGTTTCCTGGAGATGATCTTGCTCCTGTACAGTAGTTATTTGTCTCACCAGATTACAGAAGACAATTGTTTAACCTGGTGTTTCCCACCAAAGAATAGGTATTGAGTCTCGCTAGTTGTCTATGTCTCTCCACAGACCCCAGTGAGGCAGACACTTCCAGGGTGTGCTTATATGCCTAAACCAGGTCCCTCTTATGTGTAGGTAGTGTTAGGTGAGACAGATATCATTCACAGAAACTGATAGTATTTATAGCAGAGCCATTAAGCTGTTCATTTCAAGAACAATTTGCACGGTAAGTTCAGCTTGCAGATATCTTTCAAGCATTTGACTAGTCCCACTGAAATAACAGTGGTTCACAAGTGCCTTAATCACTTAATCAAGTGTTTTGCTGAATTATGGACTTTTTCTTCTGAAGCTGCTTCATCCAAATCAATGGCAGAAGGATAACATGGCTTACAAGTCTGCTCCCATGGGGTTTATCAGTGCAGGTTAATGATTTTAGACATTTGAGGGAGGGAGATAGCATGTTCCACATGTACCTGTAGACCTTAGTTGGCAGCGTATATATCTTCAATCATTTAGGGGACCCTGACACAAATATATATTTATTCCATAGAAATAAAGAACAATGCCATAAAGCAACTACCAAATGATAAGGTATGTGATTTTTAAATCTGGCTATTATTTGAGAGCTCTGTGTTTGCAATTATAAATTGATCCCGTGGTGTGTACAAACAGCATTTTTGAAGGATTGCTTATTTTCAGAAAATGACTGTAGAAGCCATATAAAGCAGAACAGTTGTGTTACAGCACAGCGCTCTTGTATCATTTTACCTGTTTCTTTTCTACACAAAGGAATCATACACTGATTGTCCCAACTCCACGTTTGTCACCAATTGCAAGATCACAGTGTTGGAAAAGGTTCAGCAATGCTTCAAAAGTAAAATGAAATAGTTGAAATGCAATAAACCTTAAAGAAGTTGAATTGTACTATAAAAGACAATAATAAGGTATAAGAATATGGAATAGTATGCATAATATAGAAGTCCGGACAGTTTGGGAGTGTTTTTTTTTGTACTCCTGACACTGTTTGGTAGTAAAGGAATAAAAAATTATTATCCAAAAGGTAATGTTTTAGCATGCTGTGGATAAAATGATACAACATCGTTAAAAATTTCCTTTAACCTTGAGTAATCTTATGGATATTCTGCTTAGGTTTGAAGATGACCATAAGCAAGTGGAATATAAAAAGTTTGTGGATGGGCTGAACTGGAAAAAGAATCAAATCCCTGCTTTCCAGACAATAAAGATTCCTCTCAAGGTAAAACCAGTGTATCTGAAAAAAAGAAAGAATAGTACAGTACATTGATACAATTTGTCCATGTCATGGTTTGAGCCTGGTCGGCAGCCAAACATCACACAGGCGCTCACTCCTCCCTTCTCCTCCAGCGATGAGAAGGGACAAATGAGCCAGGCTTGGGATTTGAGATAGGACTGGGAGGGGCAGATCACCCGTTATGGTCACGGGCAAAAGGCAGACTCCTTAGGGGAAGAAGAAAAGGAACATAGATTTATTACAGACACTAACAACAACACATAACAGAGTAGGACAGTGTGAAGCATTGCCACATCTTGAGAACACCTTCCTCCCACCCCTCCCTTCTTCCCAGGCTCAGTTCTGCTCCCAATATCTCTACCTCCTCCCCCAGCGGCGCAGGGGCAGGGAATGGGGGCTGCAGTCAGTGCTGATGTTTCTTCCGTCTTCTGTGGGGGGAGCTTCTGGAACTTCTTCCCCTTGATCCATTGTGGTCCCCCTCTCACAGGAGACAGTCCTCCACAAACTTTCTCCAATGTGAGTCCCTCCCACGGGCTGCAGTGTTTCATTACACTGCTCCGATGTGGGACACCAACATTCTCCAACTGGATTCCCTCCCACAGCTGCAGCCCTTCCCAAGTTGCTCCGGTGTGGGACACCCCTGCACGCTGTAATCTTCCCAGTGCCAAAATACAACAGCAAGGCTACCTTTTCCCACAAGACCCCGGCCTTCTTCGAGCACAGCACCTTGATTATGCAGGCGAAAAACACAGGCCATAAATCAGTGTCTGCTCCACTGTAGATCTTCATGGGTGGCAGGGAGGGGCTGCTCTGGTGTCTCACCACAGGATACAGGGGGGTCTCTGCTCCAGCACACCTCCCCCCTTCTTTCTTCCTCCGTTCCTCCACTGACCTTGGTGTTCACACAGCTGCCACAACTCCTCCTCACAAGTCCAACTCCTCCTCACACCGTCCCTTCTTAAATACGCTATCGCAGTGGCACAGGTGATTGGCTCAGTTTTGGTGCAGAGGTGGAGCTGACTTGGAGCTGGGGGAGTTTCGTGAAGCTTCTCACAGGGGGCCACCCCTATAGCCCCCTCCCCTGCTACCAGAAAACCCACCACTCACTCAAACCCAGGACAGTCCAACTTTAACATGACTTCTTTGTCCAGTAGAGACCACAACAGTTTTTGTATTTGCATATTTGTGGCTGTTTTCTTCAAGTAATGACTTTTTTTTTTTTTTTTTCTGGGAGGTTTAGAATGAAGCAAAGAAATCAAATGGGGACGAAGAGCCTTTTAACACCCCCATGCCTAATAGTTGTAACATATCCGACGTTTTTCTAGAAGGGAAAAAAAAGAGAAGGCGAAACAGGTGTATTTGTCCATGAACAATGGGCGTGAATACCACTTCACCCACAAATATCGTTGTCAAACGTCAAACAATCTGTTCGCTTGCTGAGATAGTCAGGAAATACTTTAAAGTCCACTGACACTGCAGAAAATAGCTATGTATTTTTTATAACGCCATAGAAACTTGTACATAATGCACCACCTCACTGGTAGGCGTACAGCAAGAGCAGTATTGATAGATCAACTTTGTATATCTCCACTAGCCTGCTACTTAGGGTAGATAAAAATGTGGTATCAAAAAACTGCAGAGATTAATCTGGTTTTGCCATCTTGTGCTGAATGGAACATTTTGAAATAGATAGTGCATAAAGCAATTATGCTGATTTTTAAAAACTTCATAACAGATAAACCTGAAGCCCTTCTGCCAACACGTAGTTTTGCAGGTCTGGCCTAGCCAACGTGTTGCTACGCTTGTACAGAATGTGTTTGATTGTATCCAGACCGTTTAGAGACATAGCATTCCTTTAAATTCAAGTTCAGCAGTGACATAGTTTAAACCAATATTCTTCAAGTGTTATGCTATTAACCTGACTTCTCTTTTTTACTTGGCTTTCCAGTTCCTTCTTCTGTAGCATCTCAAACTGTCAATGATGTCTAATGAGAGCCCAATGCTGCCTGTTTGCTTTCCATGGTGGTTTATTTTTCATTTTGTCATTGAGAAGAATTTTTCCATCTTGTACAGATAAAATCAAAGCCCTTCCATGTGTTTTATACAGCAGTCCTGTGGTTTAAAGTGTGCATTAGGTTTTGTTCAGTAGATATTCTTTGTTTTTACTGAAGAATTCTGTGCTTAAGTTATAACTCAATATTTAAATAATGATCGCTTGCACGAGATTATGTCAGGATAAGATGCCTCCTGAGCCTCAGCACCACAGAAACAAAGAGAAGGTCAGAGCTTGTGCCTGGGGTATTTTTGCCTTGAAGATGGTGCTAAGCTGTGTACGAAAAAGCAAGAGTGAAAGAAGCAGAGGCATGGATACTTTTGCTGTTGAATGTGTTTGACTGTTCTTTTCCTCTCACAAGGCGGCTAATCTAGCCATTGACCATGACATGATTTTGGCAGGTGAGGAAAGGAGATGGCTCCTTCAGGGTGAAGTTGGGGTTCAAGTGGTGATGGAACCAAGAGGCAGCCTTCACAAGTTGAAGGCGTGGAGGAAAAAGTGTTTGTGAAACAAGCAGGAGATTAAAATGGGCATTTGTGGTGAAATGTGTGTTCTGATCAGCATAAGAGATGAGGTTTTGTCTGGGTATGAAGAAAACATTATCTTTGCTTGGAGGAGAGCCAGTGGTTGGGCTTTCCAGGAGTGGCAGATGCCTAAGAGCCCCAGTTAAGAACAGTACCTAGAGTTATGGGAGGAAGGTTACAGCTGACATCAAAAAGGAAGAAAGGACATCAATAGAAATTATAATCAGTCATCGTCATGCTGCGATAATTAGTTCTTCACCAGCTCCAAAGCCTTGCTGTAACTGTCATACTGACATATAGCACTGTTTTTAATGAACTGTGCCCAAATTTGTGCCAGTATAGTTTACTGACTTTTATTGACTTTTATTATTTTGTTAGTTACCTGCAATACCTAGGCTATCTTTGGTATAGTACAAGAATATTTTAATGAAGAGATCAATACAAAATGGAAAAAAGACAGAGAAAGGAAGGGATTTAAATCTTGTTCAACTTCAGAATCCAGTTGTCATACTGTTCATGACTTACCATGAATTAACAGCAGTATTTTGGGGCTACAATACCTGTATTTGACAAATAGATTTCAGCAACAGAGTTGTGCTTATTTAGCTGACTTTTTTCTTCTTTCTCATCTCATTATTTTGTATGAATTTTTGGTGATGAGACATAGATGACTTTCAAGACTTTCACATATAAGCATTTTAATGAAGAAAGTATAGCATTGTTTAATTTGAAAATATCTGCAAAAGTGCTAATGATAGAAAATATTTTTAATAAAATATTCTGCGAGACTGATAAAAATGTGCATGTAGCAATTTTTTAAGAGGACGTACTATATAAAGGTCCACTTTTTCACAGATCTATGTGTGGAAATGAAGCAGCTCATTCAATCTTATGTTGACCAGCTTTTAATTATTCTTGTTTTCATTATTCTAAGATGTTCTCTGGGTTACTAATTTCAGGATGAAGATGACTGGAGCAGACAACCATCCTTTGCTGTGAAAGGGATCAAATACTTACCTCTTCTGGATGATCTGTTTGGCAAGGAAGAATAATCTGATCTATGCAAGGCACTGCTTTTGGATTAGTGTTTCAGCTCCAAAGCTTACTTAGATACTGAAAACATTCCTTGTAAAACAAAAAAAATCAGATATAGGTTTTATTGAATTTAATTTCTTATTCCAACATAGATATATACTTTGTGTATTTTTGTAACTCCTGCTAAATCAACAGCACTCTTTCATACTTATACAAGCATGATTAAATGTGTATCTAATCTTTATGTCTGATTATATGGAGAAGTTACAAGTATTGAGAAATCTTTGAGTCAAACAGAGCAAGACCTGGCTGATCCTGCTTTGTTCTGCAAAAAAAAGGTTGTTGGATGATCTCTTAAAATACTAGATTAGACTGTTTTAGCACAATAGGGTAATTCCATTCCAATTTCCTCTCTTTTTCTTTAGCTTTTATGTCTGTCTTTTTGTTATATTCCTGTGGTGATACTTAAGTACTGTTTGTGTCAAAGTTTGTTATTTTATGGAGGAAATACTAGCAAGGTTTTAGCACAGTATAAAGTTGCTCTGGTATCAGAGGTAATTATAGCCTTCCAGTGTAGAAGTAAATATTTTGCAGGCATGGCATGGAAGCTATCAGTTCTTGCTTTTTGTTCTAAATGTGACTCAGATCAGTAGCCGCCCAAGTTTACTTGGGTGAGACATATATGAATAGAAGGTGTTTCAGAACAATTTTAGCGTGCAGAGTTCTTGCAGTGGTACTGTACTTGCCCTTTGAAAATTAATTGATGCCCTTCCCTTTGCTCAAAATTGTGATGACTAAATTGAGTTCCTGTTAGCATTTTCTTTTTTTGCCCACTCAAAGCCGTGATTAGATCTGAATTTACTGCAGGGGTTTGTGAGGGAAGTAATTACCCCAGTTTAAAGAATGGAAGAGCTGAGGTGAAGAGAGGGGAGCTGACTCATCCACCGCTATTCCAGAGGGGAAGGGGAAGAGGTGTGAGCCAGCACACCTCTGCTGGTGGCTGGGAAACTCACACATTCAGTAGCATGAGAACCCTGCTCTTTCTGTAATCTGCAATTACAATTTGGGGAGGGAAGTCTTTCATTTAGAAGGTTGAGAATTCAACATATTTAAATCCCCAAACCGAGGGAACGACAGTAGTTCAGAGAATAACTTAATTCAGTAAATCTGTATCTCTTTGGAAATGCGAAGTTCCTTTTTAGAATTATGATTCCATTTAGAAATATCTTGCTTCACTTTTGCATGATAGCGTAAATGACATTTGTAATTGTATGTCTTCTCTCTAGCCCCCCTGGCTCCTGAGAAGAAATTATTTTCCCTCCATATGGCAAAATATGAAGCTTTCATCATCTTTTTACCTTTTTTTGTCAGCAAAAAATGACTCGAGGCAAGGCATAGTTTGTGTGTGTTGCTGCTACTTAGGAAAGCATTTGCAATAAAATGGGTAAATGATGGTCTGTGTCCAGGAGGTCAAAAAGAAAACTCTGAAAACCTGTTAAAGTGCTCCAAGTTGTTGACAAGACCATGCACTGCTTTTTGATCCAAAAGAAGAAAATGTTTTCTTGCATGGCAAGGAAAATGTCTGACCACAGGGATAGTGGCAGGAGCCAAAACGATGATAACTTGCATTTGAAGCTGGTTTGATGAAGGTGAAGATTTTTAAAACATGCTGCCAAGATCGAGCTTGACACTTTAAATGAATGCAGTTGCTCTTGTAAGTTTTCAGTGTTCCCCAGACTTCAGAAGGGTATGTTTGTTGTGGAAATCTTGTACAGCCAAGGGTTTCCAAGAAAGATTGAACATTTAGAATTTCCCAAGTAGCTTTTGGAGATGGAAAATTCACTTCAGTTTGTTTTCCTTTATGTGTATAGGACAAAGAGGAACCTCTCTTCAGAAAAAAAAAAAATTGTACAAAAAGTATAATTTCTTATAATTTCATGTGGAACCCTGTGTATAGGTCTGTTCAATTATGGTCTGGTCTGGTCATGGTCAAGAGAGGTGACTGCAACCTGGAACCAGTGCAGAGAGGAACTAGAAAGGTGACCAAGAGAGTGGTGGTAAGAAAGGAGACAAAAGGCACTTGGCTTATTTAGTGAAATAAAATGAAGTCTCAGAGAGAATATGACTTCTCTCTGTAAATACTTTATGGCCAGGTAAAGAGAATAATCTGTTTCGGTTAGGAACATTGGTAGTCTATGAACAAATGGTTCTAATTTGCCATGAATAAATTTAAGCTGGACAACAGAAGGTAGTTTCTCACTTCTAAACCTGTCTCAAACAGCCTTCCAAGACTGAAGTACTCAGTTTTAAGGTTGAGGTGGGTCATCTGATGACAGTAACTTTAGGGTGTTTATTAAATACTCTGCTGAATTAGTATTCTCACGTCTCTCCTTTTTTTCCCATGCATCTTGCATAACGCTGACGAGCACAAAAGGATCTCCTAGGAGCAGGGTAGACAGGGCCTGAAAAATATTTTCAGTGCTTGTCACTGTGCTCACAGTGTGTCATATGCTGTGGTCTGATGTGTTATAAACACTTTTCACCAGGTTTTCTTTTTTACAAGCAGCAGTGCTTCCAGAAGGGAAAGCCCTAGCCAATGAGCAGTCCAATAATACTCTTTGTATAATGTGACTTACAGCATATGCTGCCCAGAATATTTCAACCTCTCCTGTAATCCTGCCACCAGCTTCTTCTCTCTTTTCACATTGCTGATGAGGGGCCTGAATGAAGACAATACCACAAGATTATGTTTCAAGATGGCAGGAGGCCACAGCTTTAAAGCATGCAGCGCATAAAGGGGAAGGCAGCCCCCACAGTTGCCGTTAATCTCAGCTCTCGATCTCTGTAGGGGAGCCAAAGATATCTTCTTTCCGCAACTATCTGTGCTGTCCACGGCAGAAGAGATTCACATTACAGTACCGGCTCCCCATCCCACTGCTGGGGTCTGCTGTGTGTTCGGTGTTAATTTTTATTTCCTCAGCTTGGCATTTGAGAATAAGAGGCTTCAAGTTCTCTAGAGTAGCTGCTGCTGCTGCTGCGAGCAAATGGCAGGCTGCGAATGGCAGAGGACCATGTACAGGTGGGGCGCTGGCTGGCTCGTGGCCTCGCATCATCTTCCCCTCCTGTCCAGGTCAGAGGGCCTGCTCTGGTCACCCGCAGGTGTCCCCCTCGGATGTGGCAGCCACAAGCAGCCATAGACAATCCGCGGACAAAATTAAAGTGCCTCACCGGGCAGTATTTTCCTGTGTCCTGCCCAATTTACAGGCATCTACTGTAGTTTTCTAGACAGAGCCATTTGTACCAACATCAGAAGTTCACCTACATAAATGAAAAGATGTCAAAATCCTCCTGCATTTGTGTCCTTCATGCACTGATGGGAGTTGATCCTACTTCGTGGCAGGAAAGATCTTCATAGAAAAAGTTTCGGCCCAGTTGACTCCTGTGTTTGCTCTCTCTGTCTTGTCCTTTTAGCCCAGGAGACATTTCTGCCTCCCAAAGGTGCAGTTTTTGTAGGAAAACTGAGGAGAGCCCAATTCCACAATAACCAAAATATTGAATGTTTTCAGTCACATGACAGCATTCAGAGAACAGCAGCCCATATATCACTAATAGTAATTCACTGGTCTCTTGCTTGTTGGACATTTCTGTGTGTTCCTATGATTTGGGACATGGAACTCAGAAGAATTTTCCAGTTTTTAACATTTTGTAGTCATATGTAGGTTATTCAGTGACATGAAGGGAAACATTAGTTCTTTAAGCAATAATGTCCTGTACCCTCAGTAACTTATCTGTTGCATATTTACCTACAGCATTTCTTCCTTTTTGAGGTGGACTGGCCAACAAGCTCCAGTACAAGGAAAAAGACAAAGCAGCATCATGTTTGTGAAGAAGTCACAATATCAGGAGGAAAAAATGCAAAAATCTAGCTTGCTCAGATTTTTAAAATTAATTTTATGTTTTGGAGGGCCGTATAGATAACATTTGAGAGAAAAGTATCTTGAAAGAAGACTTTCTAAAGTTACTGTTTGGTCTGAATTTATTTCTTCTTGTTGTTTGTTTAGAGTGATGACTCAGACCCCGTCAGAAGCAGTGGTCAAACAAGGCAGATAGAGGAGTGCGGGAAGTCTTGTGTCTAATACACAGTTTCCAATATAAAGTTTAAAACCAGTGAGGGAGCATAACCATGATGAGGAAGGAAGTTAATATAGATATAGTATATTGAGTTTATAGATTGAATATATAAACTCCTTCCCTGCACAGCTGGTCATTTCTGAATCATCTGGAAGCTTCTTCTGGTATGTATTACACACAAATAAACTAGCTATCCTTATCTGCCCTTCATCCTAGCCATCTGTCTTCTTTGCTCTCCTCTTTCGTCAGGCTAGTTTCATATTAAGAACTATGAACAAAGAGAAGTAAAGAATCTGATTCACAAACTTCTCAGAAATCTGATGCAGATCCCTGGCAAGCAGCATGGTGGGTTGATGTGTAACAGCAAAAATTCGTAGTATTACCTAACAGTACTTGAGAGAGCTCCCACTTTCAAAGTCAAATCTGTCAGGAGAATGGCATTGTCTTGAAAGACAAGAGGAAGACCTTTCGCAGAGCTGCTGTGGTGCAGGTGGGATGCAGCCTCCTCTAAACTAGCAGGAGGTTTATGGGTGAGACTTACGTCCCTTGCCTGCAGATGTCTGCACCTGCATTAGCTCTCTGGATCCCTTCCTCGCCGATGGAAGTGCAGTGGGCACCTCTGGCAAGTGACTAGCCTACAGGAACGTCTACAGGAGGCCTGTTACCTGTACACTGCTCCTCCCTCTCCGCTGACTGTGAAGGGGTGTAAGAAGACCAGCTAGATGGGGATGTTTGCACTGCTGTGGGGTGAGATGAATCCCGCCCTTAGGGTCCATCAGCATTGCTAGAGGAGCGCTGAGGTCAAATGTGGTGACCACTTGGCTGCACCCCACCCTTGGCGCAGGTTGCAGCCGTGCTGGAGTGAGAACAGGACGTGTAGGAAGGGCTGAGCTTCAGCCAGCTGGGGGTAGTCTGGGTTGAGCTGGGCAGACCAGGCAGCGGAGACTGTGAGTCCACACTACGTGCTGAGTGTGTGTGTGATCCCTCTCATGGGATATTTTGGAGCTTAGGCTGAGCAGAGACTTGGCGCCATGCTTAGCAGGTGGACCTGACTATGCTCCATTAGCTTGACTCAGGCTCTGGCCAGTGTCTCTTGGCCAAATTTCACTCCAGCTAGGTAAACAGGAAAACCTGGCTTGATACAAATGGAACTATGATTACTCTTGTTAGACCGCTCTGAGAATCTAATTTATCAAAGCATTTAAGCATATGCATAAGGCCGTCCCTTTTGCACAAAGCCACTCAAGTGTGTGCATGCGGCTTGCTAAAATCTGTCAAATGAAGCACTGGTGGAAATGCTTTCCTGACAAAGAGGAATTCTTAATTTGAGGAATTTAGGAATTAAGTCATTGTAGTAAAAAACCCCACCATACGAGAAGGTAGCAGTGAAAGGAGGTAATATAGAATTGTCTGGACATTTTTATACAGGCTATATATTGTGTGTTGTTATTGTAGTTCTGCACTATAAGCTAGCAATTAGCAATTAAATTCCCATTATGGGATCATGTTGGTAATTGAGATAAACTGTAAGTGTGTAACTGTTTTAAACCTTTCTTTTAACTAACCCAAATACTGTAGTACTTATATAATTTAGAGATAATATGCCCATTAGTAGAGTTTATGACTCAATAAACAGCTCCCACAAGTTCATAAAAGCCAAAAGCATAAACTCTAGGACTATTAATGCAATAGAAATTCTGTGCCTCCCTCTTTTCTTGGTGGTCTAGATAGAGCAAAGGGAAATGCTATCTCAGAAAAAAAACATTTATTCTGGCTATATAAATATAAATGAATTGTCTTAAAACCCATCTGGAAATTTCCTCTCCTCCCCGTGTCCCAGGTGGTCTGGCAACTGTGATGCATTCTGCTTTTGTCTGCAGGCAAGAGCAAGAGTTCCCATTTGAAATCATTTACATGAAAGGATTGCATGTAAAAGTGCTGGTGGTATCCTGACCCTGCCCTTCCCTTTTGGAGAAACAGGAACAAAATCTTCGCTAGATCTGGGTTTCAGTGTACTTTTCGATTATTATTATCATCATCATCATCATCATTATTAGTATTATTATTAAATATTATTATTAATAATAATTGTTAATAAAGGGAAAGCCTCATTGAAGTGCCTGGACCTCTCAGTTTTTGAGCCTCTCTGCTGCTAACATTTTTGCCCCGTTTTGACAGCTAAATGGATTTTAGGGAAGAGCATCTGCTTGCCTGGAGGTTAAAGCAAGCAGAGCTTTTGTAGCTCAAACCTCTTTCCATTTGGAGCTGAGGGAAGTGATTAATTAAGCCATTTGCAACAGAAAATGAACCCTTTCATTTGTCCAAAAGAGCTTTATCTCGAGGTGCCCTTCTGCTTAGCAACTCATTGCACAAAAAACCACCTCTATCTGGTCACTTTGCTGCTGAAGGACATTTCTTCCCGTGTTGTTAAAATCATATTGTTTGAGTTCATCAAAATGCAGGAAGTTTTTGTCATCGTTAGCCGGCTGGGTTTAAATGGATGTGAAAAACTGGAGGTACACAACAGAGCCACTGCTCTTGCCCTCTCTCTCCCAGTAGGCAACTCATTCTGGGATGAAACACAAGATTTTCATTTGTTTTGCTGTTGCATCATGTCTTCTGTTTTTGCCACTTTTGTGTGAGAGTTTGTTTCCAGAGTAAGCATCTCAAGTGGCTGTTGGGATTCATGTCTATCACCTCCACGCTGCTGGATTCCTGACCTTTACGCCTACGAGGGAGTTTGGCCTTTAGTACCCCAGGAAAGCTCATTTTCACAAAAGGCAGAAACTCAGACATTTTGTTCTGCAGAAGCATGGTAAGTAGTGAGCAAACACGGTCTCTCTCGGGCTTTGTGCCATTTGCATTTCACTGGCCTTCCCGGTTTATCCTGAAGTTTTAAGTTTCCATAACAATGGTATCAAACTGGGAGGCACTCCCTCAGGAATGCGCCTGCCCACTTGGTCTCACTTGCTCAGTAAAGTCTCAGAGCCTCGCAGCAGGTTCAGAGATGTCCCTTTTGATTCCCTGTTGGCAACCACATAATGAAGACAACCCAAGACCTGAAGCAAATCAAATACTCGAATTAGAAAGACTCAGCATCTTAATGAAGCAAAATTCCTTTTAGGAGGCAAACAAACAGGAAGGACCCGAACTGTTGCTGCTGAGGTCCCAACAGTCTCACCGTTGATTTCTGTGGGAACAGGGTTTGGCTTTACTTTCTGGGAAAGGGCAATTGCTTCGCTGCTTTCCTACCCTTGCACGTGAAATCCTCAACTTGTCTCAGGGTAGTCCACGTGCTTCAGCTGCAGCGGCCAGGTGCTAGGGCTGGGTCAGGTCCTGGCAGATCCCAGCTCAACATGCAGCATTGCAGATACGCGGGTATGGGGGCCTGTGACGGAGGCACTCGACTCCTTAACCAAACTAGTGGTAGTTTGGTACAGGCTCCAAAGGAGGTAGAGGCCTCAGCTGTAACCGGGCCAAGAACTTCTCTAGTTCCAATATGTTCTCTGAAAATCCATGAAGGCGCAAAGTGACACAGTGGGCATCAATGCATATGAGCTTAGAACACCCATCATGCGATTTACACATGAATAGCGAGTGGCTTTTCCAACTCATTTATCAAGGAGCAAAGAAAGTTGTGGGTACAAGAAATCACATGCTTACCTTTTCCATCCCATGTAATTTGACTACAAGCCAAGCACTTTATCTCATAAATATGACACCCTAAGTGAACCTTCTCTGATCTCTCTCTGCTAAGCAGCCCAGCTGTATGGTGGTGATCTCCTCTTGAGCTGGGGCACCTCTCAAGTTTGCTCCTCAATGCAGAGAGACCTTTCACCAATGGCAGATCTTTGGTAAGCGACTGATACCATGCACAACTTCTTATTATGGTACCTTTGCTTTTGTCTTGGTAACTTGGACTCTGCCTTGGTATATTTTAATTATTGTTCAAATGACTGCACAGGGTAATAATAGAGTGAACCTTGCCATCGAACTTTAAGTTGGGCTTTTACAACATTGTATTTCAATAAAACCACTTTGGTAGATACCTTTGTTAAGCGATCTAAATGGCCCATTTTCGACAGGGTCACACCGCCTCCTCTGTAGCCACCGCATTAGCTCCCCGGCACCTGGGGGGATGGAGAGCCAGAAGGAGCCGTGCTCTGGCTCCCAGCAAGACAAGAGGCTGGATCAAAGCCTCGCACAGACAGGGAAGACAGATGGTGACTCCAGTGCCAGCTCCAGCCTGTGAGTAGGAAGAGTTTGCAAGTAACGCTAACAAGACTGCGCAGCTATGGGGAAAAGGAGTAATTCCTAGGTATGAGACAACATTCCTGATGCCATGTAAGTATGTTGATGGGCAGGACAGGATCTGAGATACTGCCTCATGGAAAAATGTCTGTAATATTGTCTGCCTGTTCTACTACATCTTTATCATCCTGTGTCAGCGGAGGGGATTGATGAAGTAACAGAGAAATTTCATAAGAAACTCTTGTAAGAAGAGAATTAATGATCTTTCATTATCCTAAAATACACTTTAATGTAAGCATGTGGGTGGGCTGTTACTTGAATTATAGAGAAGAAAACTGGACTTCTCAGGCTTTGACTCCATTGTATGCAGTTGTGAAATACTCCAAAGCCTCCTGAGAGGTTCTTGGTCATTTATGGAGACTGGGAGCTGGCCCTTCTCTCCGGTTAGAAACTCGTCATTTGAAGTCTGCGGTTGACTGTGGGTCTCATGGGCTGCCCATGTCCCTGGTGTAGTTTGGGAGGGAATGAGGGGCTGTTTTCCCAAAGCAGGACCAGCAGTTGCAGGACTGTCCCCTCAATGTGGAGAAGTTTCAGCTTCTTGATCATTCTTTTCCCTCCTGTGTTGCTCTGCTCAGTTGGACAAACCTATTGCTTTCCCTGGTTAATCAGCAGGGTTACCTTTCTTATGGGTCAGGGCGATTGTGTAGTCTTCCTCCTGCTTCATCAGCTGAAGCTTTCAGATACTCTGAGACTGTTCAGCCCTGCCCTGCAGAACCCCTGGCTGAGCTTTTCCTACTGCTGGCGCGTGGAGAGCTATAGAAAGAACGAATGGTGTGAGTATTAACACCCAACAAGCAGGAGGAAGAGCTGCACAACTAATGCGTGGATGTTGATGAACGCTCCCTCCCCTCACATTCTTTTTATAAAAATGTCCCGTTGGTGGCATTTGAGGCATCTCTGGTTCAGTGTGCTGAAGGCCTCTCATATTGCAGGAGGTAAACCATAAATCACAGTGTGAGATACAATATTTTGGATTTGATATTGCTAATTTAATCCATGTTAGTGATGCTAACCATGCATCAGCTAAGGAAAGCAATTGGTTGGCCATATCTGGGAAGCATTTTCAGAGTGTTTTCAGGTCCGAAAGGTGGAACTCAAGTTTATGGAACAGGACAGGATTTCCAGTACAGGTGAGTGGAAATCATTCTCGGGGTGATAGGGTATAAAGTTGCATTTATCTCCAGAGTACAACTAAAAGATAATGTACTAGTACAAATAGATTTTACTATGTATAAAGCCATAGCAGCCTTTCATCTGTGTGCCTAAATATTCAAACCAGAAAGCATCCTTGTTGGAAATGGTTACTGTCCTTCTGGAAGATAATAATGCATGATTCAGCATAAAAAGTTTTCCTCCTGCAGTAGACTGGACTACATCAGTTAAAACGATGGTAGTAACGTAAACAAAAAATAGGTGGGTTTATTAGGATAGTAATGGGACAGTTACCTCTTTCCTTCCCCTATTTGCATCACTCACTATATCTGCTCTGGGTAATATGGTGGAGAGAAAACATGGACCTCTGTGTCTGCCAGGAAAAAAAGTGTGGGTTGCACTAGGGCATGCTGTTCCTGATTTGGGACATTTTAAGAAGGATGAGTAAGAAGGGCTGGGAAAGACTTGCTGCACAAAGATGGTTACAGTAAGGTCAGTAAGCCTTGCTTTGCCCACTGGGAACTCATTGCTTTTATTTCAAGAAAGGTAATTTGTGTCAGATGGCTGAAGGTGACTCATTAAACAGCATATGCAAAAATTACACTAGTGTTGTAATGATAAGGATCGGGAATGGAAGGAGGAGATAATCATCATTTCTTTTCTTTTAACAATACTGAACTTAAGCCTTTTTATCTTCAGGGTCATCTGAAGTTGCTATGCTCCCTAAACCTCTGTTTATGGCTGTTGCTGTTCCTCATCTGGAGTGGTCTTCCACATAAGGTGAAATCAGGGTTGTGAGTTGGGTACTGGCCGGTGCGAGCAAGGACGGCTGTGTCTCTGCCAGGCTGTGCTTGTCATTTAAGTGGTAAAGATTTTAATCTGTATTTTTTTCAATTCAAAGTGTGATGCTGCAGTGTTGGACTGGTGGGAACACTGCTGCACACAGTTGCTAGGGAAACTTCTTCAAGTTAATTTTCCTTTGAGTTTTGTCATTCAACTCACAGCATGGCTGTAATTGTTCTTTTAAAAGTGGGACGTGTGAGCCATGAAGGAGTGCCAGTCACTGATGTAAGAGCTGGCATTGACCAAACACTCCTGCTTGAATCTCACCAAGGGTCTTAGGGCCAGCAGAGAGATTTCTGCAGGTGCTGGAGGGGGACTTGGAAGTAAAACAGCATCAGCATGGATTTAAATAACAT